AACCTCAGAGGTTGTGAGGACCTCCCAAGCTCTGGCCATAGATGCAGGCGAAACATCAGGAGAGAATGCTTCTAGAACATGGCCATATAGGTTGTTGGTTTTTTGGGCTGTATGACCATGTCCTCAAAGCACTCTCTCCTGACGTTTCACGAGCATCTATGGCAGGCAACCTCAGAGGTTGTGAGGACCTCCCAAGCTCTGGCCATAGATGCAGGCGAAACATCAGGAGAGAATGCTTCTAGAACATGGCCATATAGGTTGTTGGTTTTTTGGGCTGTATGACCATGTCCTCAAAGCACTCTCTCCTGACGTTTCACGAGCATCTATGGCAGGCAACCTCAGAGGTTGTGAGGACCTCCCAAGCTCTGGCCATAGATGCAGGCGAAACATCAGGAGAGAATGCTTCTAGAACATGGCCATATAGGTTGTTGTAGGTTTTTTGGGCTGTATGTCCATGTTCTAGAAGCATTCTCTCCTGATGTTTCGCCCGCATCTGTGGCAGGCATCCTCAGAGGTTGTGGCATGGCCATATAGCCTGAAAAACCTACAACAACTCACTGGATACTCCTCTTTGACCCAGGCATCCTCCACTTTGCACAGAAGCCACAGTTTGCTCTTCTGTCTGAACTGTGCACCCTTTAAGACAGGTTTGCCACTAGCAACAAATCCTAGCTTGGTGTTCTCTGTGAGTCAGCTGAGATCTTAGGAATGTGCAGTATTGTCTCTTCCTGTCAGACTTCATCTGCTTTGCAGCTTCCCTGACCCTCTTTATGGCTCCCTTGACTTTGCCTGTTGGACACAGCTGCTCCCGTCTAACCTTGTGTCTCAGCTAATCTGTTTTATGTGTTTCTGTCTCAGCTTCACAGATGGGAAGGCCCTGGAGATCGTCCCTTCACTGCTCTTCTTTTTCACCTTCCTTTTCACTGTTTCTTTCTCCCTATCTTGGTCCCTCCTCCCCTCTTTTCCTTTCCTTGAAGTGTCTGTATTTGATGCTAAATGTGGCGTCGTCAGACTTCCTTGGCACCTTTCCTGACTCAAAAAAAACATGTTGAATTTGCAATAGAACTTTTCACTGTGTCTTCCAAGTTGTTTTCAACTCATGGCACCCCTAAGGGTCAACCTATCCCAGGAGTTTCATGGCAAGACGTGTTCAGAGCGGGCTTGCCATGGCCTTCTGTTGAGGCTGAGAGAGTATGATTTGCACAGAACTGATTTTTGAGGCCTAAGGAAGCCTGGCATTTTATAATGTGCAAGGAAGCTGCATGGAGAAGGCTTTGAGTGTTTTATTGGGACTCCAGGAGACTTGCATTCACATCCCCGCTCAGCCCACTGGTTGAGTTTCAACAGCCTTAGTAGCAGTCAATGGTAAATGTTCTCTCAACCAGTCAGGCCAAAATGGTTGCCTGAAGTCCAAGTTGACTTGAAGGCATATAACAACAAAGCTATTCTTAATAATATCTCTTTCCCCTTTCTCTGCAATTTATATATGTGTGTGTGTGTGTGTTATATTGGTATATATGTTACACTAATATTCAAGAACATGAACATGAGATGTGTTGTAGTACAGTGTGATAGTAACGTTACTACTACCAGTAGAAGGGAGAAGAGGGCTGTGCAGGTGTTGGAGGAGGACCAGCGGCGAAAGCGGATTAGAGACATATTCATGGCTCCAACTGATTCTGAATCCTTCGAGGGTTTCTCAGACTGTGAAATGGGGGAAGGAGAGGAAAGCAGGGGAGTTAAGCGGGCTACTCGTGAACAAGAATCTGATGAGGAGATCCAAAGGAAGCGTATCCGTGATATACTTAGCACTCCAACAGAAGATGAAGATTTTATGGGTTTTTAAAGGAGTGATGGGACTGGGAGTGACATTGAGGAGGAGGATGATCTAGACTGGACCCGTGTACAGGAAATTAGGGACATCTGTACTCAGCCTACCTCCAGTGATGACTTTGAGGGGTTTGCAGAGGACTGGCAATCTGGGAACACTTGGGAGGACCTAAGTCTTGACAGACGCTGGCAAAGGTGGAGAGATGGGAGGCAGTGCTCAGCTGCAGGGAATGGGGCAGCTGAAAATGATGATGAAAGGGTGGGGAGCAGTTCATCCTCTGATGAGGAGTTATAGGATATAAGTTGGTTTGGTTTCAATGGGTCTTTGCAGAAGGCAAAGTGTCTTTTCGGGTGTGAATCTTTGTTACTGCCATTACTCTCAAGCTTGGGTCCTTGGACTACAGATCTTCGTGTTTCCGTGACTTCTGGCTGATACTCCGTAAGTGCTGACTTCAACTCCCCCTTTTGACGCCGGACTGTGTTTTGACAATGACTACGCTTTTTGGTCTGCTTCTTCTTACCTTGGACATGCCTGGACTACGGATTGCTTTTGGACTCTGATTTTGCTTGCTCCCACCTTGTTTTTCTGTGCTTTTTGGACCTTTTGAATTACAAGCAGATTGCTGTATATTTTTGTTATCCCAGATTATACTTCAGGATAAACCGGATTATGTTTAAATTGGGTTTTTTACTTAGCGGTTGCTATAGACTTTCAGTTTGTGCTAGGGACACTGAAGTAAGTGTCTCTAAGCCTTTTTGTGTTTAGTAAACCTGTGTTTGGACCTTTTATATTGTGTTTGGCGTTCTTGAGGCTTCTGGGTCTTGACTAGATGATTGTATGCATTCGCACCAGATAAAATCAAGTAAATCAAAATCAAAATAAATAATATTATGAAAGCTGAACAGTACATACATACAGACATACATTCTGTGTGTGTGTGCGTGTGTGCGTGTATAGTTCAAATTTTTGTTATCAGGTTAGATTTCTGATTGGCTCACTGCATCCACTTAACAGGAAGCATCATCATTTGTACAAGGGTTATCTGGAAGGTATGGTTACAAGGCACATAGCTTTTGTGGGGAATTTTCTCGGGGAAGTTGGTCTCACTGCTGAGTAGCGGGAAGCTAGCGAAAGCGAACGAGCAGTGCCAGTTGTCAGCAGCTCATCAAATGGCGTTGTGGTGAAGGTTAGAAATGAGCGCCCTCATTCCATTTCCCTCCAAGTGTGGAGTTCATGCTGTACAAGGCTTCTCTGGAAAGTAAGGTTAGAAGGCACATAGCTTTTGTGGGGAACTTTCTCGGGGGAGGTTGGTCTCACTGCTGAGTAGTGGGAAGCCAGCAGAAGTGAACGAGCAGTGCCAGTCGTCAGCAGCTCATCGCCTGGTGTTGTGAAGGTTAGAGATGAGCGCCCTCGTTCCATTTCCTTCCAAGTGTGAAGTTCGCGCTGTACAAGGGTTATCTGGAAAGTAAGGTTAGAAGCAACATAGCTTTTGTGGGGAATTTTCTCGGGGAAAGTTGGTCTCACTGTCGAGTAGTGGGAAGCCAGCGGAAGTGAACGAGCAGTGCCAGCCGTCAGCAGCTCATCAAATGGCGTTGTGGTGAATTTTCTCGGGGGAAGTTGGTCTCACTGCCGCGTAACAGGATGCCAGCGGTTAGAGATGAGCGCCCTCGTTCCATTTCCCTCCAAGTGTGAAGTTCGCGCTGTACAAGGGTTATCTGGAAAGTAAGGTTACAAGGCACATAGTTTTTGTGGAGAATTTTCTCGGGGGAAGTTGCTCTCACTGTCGAGTAGTGGGAAGCCAGCGGAAGTGAATGAGCAGTGCCAGCTGTCAGCAGCTCATCAAATGGCGTTGTGGTGAAGGTTAGAGATGAGCACCCTCATTCCATTTCCCTCCAAGTGTGACGTTCATGCTGTACAAGGCTTCTCTGGAAAGTAAGGTTAGAAGGCACATAGCTTTTGTGGGGAACTTTCTCGGGGGAAGTTGGTCTCACTGCTGAGTAGTGGGAAGCCAGCGGAAGTGAATGAGCAGTGCCAGTCGTCAGCAGCTCATCGACTGGTGTTGTGAAGGTTAGAGATGAGCGCCCTCGTTCCATTTCCTTCCGAGTGTGAAGTTCGCACTGTACAAGGGTTATCTGGAAAGTAAGGTTAGAAGGCACATAGCTTTTGTGGGGAATTTTCTCGGGGGAAGTTGGTCTCACTGCCGCGTAACGGGAAGCCAGCGGAAGTGAACGAGCAGTGCTAGTCGTCAGCAGCTCATCGACTAGTGTTGTGAAGGTTAGAGATGAGCGTCCTCATTCCATTTCCTTCCAAGTGCGAAGTTCTTCGTGCTGTAATACACTACCTAAATGCTAAGAGTAGGAACGCCGCTGCGCTTCATGGCAAAATACTTTCCATTTATGGAGAGGATGTAATGTCAAGACAGCATGTGACAAAATGGGTATGGAATATATTGTCAGACCATGAAGAAACTTCTCAGAGCCATCCAATACAAATAGCGTGGGATGCTGATGGCGGAAGTCTGCCTCCTTCAGGACATTGCGCGTCCGCACACCACTCATGCAACGCAAGAGTGGTTGACTTCGTTGGGTTGGGATGGTTGAAGCCACCCCTCTCACAGCCTCGATCTCACACCCAGAGACTATCATCTGTTCACTAAATTGAAGGAACACCTTGGTGGAAAACACTTTTTTGATGAGGAGGAGGTGAAAATCAAAGTGACAACTGGCTGAAAAAAGGGAAGGGAAACTTCGATGACACAGGCATCAAAAACTCCTCCCACAGATATCAAAATGTATTGAACCGAATGTTGATTATGTGGAAAAATAATGTAATACCAATGCTACAATCCATGTCAGTTTTAGTAAAATATATTCATTCTTTGTATTTTAAAAAAATCTTGTAACCTAACTTACCGGAGAACTCTCTTATGTTGCTTTTCCCCAAAATCTGGGATTTTTACTGAGTCTAAAACACATCATTAATAAGAACATGTTCAAGGTCATAAGCAAAAATGTATAAAAAAGTTACTAGAACACAGACGAATGCCTTAAAAATTATAGAAGTAAGAAAGGAGAGAGGAAGCTATGTTAGGAACTTTCCATATGGAAAGAGTACTGCTTTACATATGTAGTAAACCTGTTTGGTGATGGCTGCTTTCTGTTGTTTTCAGATCTTGGATGATGGCGGGGATCTCACCCACTGGATCTACAAGAAGTATCCCAACATGTTCAAGAAGATCAAGGGGATTGTAGAGGAGAGTGTTACAGGGGTCCACAGGTAAGGGCACCCTTCTATTTAGAATGGGCCACATATGCAAAAGGCCTTGTTAAAATGGGGCAAAAACCAATTGCTTTACTTGTGTACTAGGAAGGAAATACAGTTCATTCCACTTACCATTTCTATACATATAAAAAGGTAAAAGTTGTCCCCTGACATTAAGTCCAGTCATGTCTGACTCTGAGGTGTGGTGCTCATCTCCATTTCTAAGCCGAAGAGCCGGCGTTGTCCATAGACACCTCCAAGGTCATGTGGCCGGCATGACTGCATGGAGCACCGTTACCTATACACATATAAACATATAATTGGAACATAGTAAGTGACCATCTTGTTTAAACTGCTGCCAGTGTGGCAGTCCATAGCCAAAGTTGTGCTGTCCAATCTCTACTTTAAAACCTCCATCTGAAGGAGTCTAATTCATGATTGAACAGCTATTTCATAGAATCATAGAATCAAAGAGTTGGAAGAGACCTCATGGGCCATCCAGTCCAACCCCCTGCCAAGAAACAGGAATATTGCTTTCAAATCACCTCTGACAGATGGCCGTCCAGCCTAAATTCAGTTCTCCCTAATGTTTATTTGGAGTCCCCTTCTTTGTAATTTGAATCCACTGCTTTCAGATATTACTTTCTGCATCAGTAGAAAACACACTTGCACCATCTCCCCTGTGAGCATTGCAGATCATTTGCATACACGCAAGTACGCAGGCAAAATAATACACAAATTCTTAGAGGTCATTTTTTTATTAGAGCACAAACACTAGCAAAGCAAACATTCCCGGGTGGCCTTTAAATAGCTGTACTTAAGCACTGAGAATGTTCTCCGTTTCTTAAAGTAATTAGGAGTTTCTGAAACTCTCAATTACAACTGCTTAAAGAAAAGGCCTTTAAGAAACATGAACTGTTCATCTGGATAGTGCTCAGTCTGCTGCACTGAAGCAAAAGGGAGTTTATAAGGAGACAAGAACCGTGCTATTTAAAGTGTTGACAGTTGCAGCCTTCTTTTGGCATCAGTTGTGCCATTCAGTCCTAGAAGACTATCGAGGAAGGCATTGACCACTGTGGCGCGTAACATTGCACATAACTGAATACGTGATGCCACACCACATATGTAGTTTTCTGTCATCACTTTAATATCTGGGACGTACTCTGTTTCTGTCCTTTCGCAGGTGCCTTCCTTTTGACTCAGTGAGGGGAAAAAGAATTTCCTTTCTAAATCCCTTTACCGCCTTGTACTGCTGCAGTTTCCCTTTTAAATTAGCTGGGGCTTTCTTGTGAGCTGTTTAACCTTTGTGCTTTATATAACAGGCTTGAGACACTCTGGTAAGCAACAAAGTAACACAGTTTATTTTTAGCTTCTGCTTCCAATGCTTTATGGTTACATGTGTGTTTTGTTACAGTCTCAAGTCTTACATTCAGTATCATTCACTTGGTTAACTTTACCTATGAAACTCTCACTGTTGCACATCAACGAAAATGTTACTTTCTTCATATACTCTTGGCTGAACTATATTTTGACTTAGGTCACACTGGTGCCTTTTATTTTTCCTTAAACCTTGAGCTCCATTTCCCAACTGCTTCTCTCTAACCGAGGTTCCTAACTGCTCCTACTTTTTTTTTTAACTGACAATCTCTAACTGCCTCTTTCAAACTTGACTCCACCCCTTTAGAATGTTCAATTCTGTAACTGCCATTCTGGCTCAGCGGTCTTTTCAAATCCTGGCATAATCTCATCTGCATATGACCAATCAGCTTCACATATGCAAATTAATCCTGCCTTCACTGTTGCTACCCTATCTGAACCAATTCTTCCCTATCAACCATACTGTAACCTAGAGCTACACACCAAAAATAAAACATAGATCATAAAATTCACTACAACCACCTTCTCATTCGTTTCCTTATTTTCCTTTCCCCAGATTGTACCAGCTATCGAAGGCAGGCAAGCTCTGCGTCCCAGCCATGAACGTCAACGACTCCGTCACCAAACAGAAGTTTGACAATCTCTACTGCTGCCGGGAATCCATTCTAGATGGGTTGGTATCTGTTTGTTTACATCAAGCATGGGCCAACTGTGGCCCTTCAGGTGTTGAAGGCAAAATAGAGCGCCAGACATGATTACGCTATAGCACCTGCGTACTCATTTCATCAAAAACAACATATGAAGACGGACCACACACACGCACGCAGCTTTCGGCTCACCAGGGGATGGCCAAAACCGCGATATGAGTATATTAACGCGCACAACGCTCAAGCGCACTAGACAGGAACCCATTAAGTACTATAGCTGCTAGGGGAAGAGCCAAACCCACGAGACCACGCCATAGGTACTTCAAACTTCCGCTTTTTCCAGTGAGCGGCTATGCTAGAGCCCACAGGGCGAGATGTTCCACTTGAAGACAATACACATTCGGGAACAATGCATGATAGGTTCACTTACAACACTCATTCTTGCATGCTGGATGAGGAATTTTCTCATTGATCGTGCCGACTGCGAAACTACGCCTACCCCCCCGCATCAAGAGCGATACCTCTAACTTTCTCTACCTTGACACAGGATGGCACACTTGTCTTTCGGGCTGAAAAGGTCGACAGCAAGCTACACAAATTGGTCGGAAGCTCACTTTGACCCGGGCTGGCTTCGAACTCATGACATTTTGGTCAGTAGTGATCTCAATGCAGCTGACTCTCAGCCAGCTGCGCCACAGTCCCAGTGCGATATGGTTATCACAGCTTTCTAAGGGTGAGCAGATGGTCACTAGTAGATGACATATGTTCTGTATCTCAAAAGCTAGAACTGACAGGGGAAAACTAGTTTCATTTCTGGAATCAGCAGGTCAAATACACCCAGAAACAGGGATGCACCAAAAAGTGTATTTGGATTTTTCTAACAAAAATCCAGTGGGATGAAATGCTTTGAAGATCATACTAGTTAATCTGCATTCTGGAACAATGGAGCCTAGGGCTCCATTGTACCTTTTGTAGCTGCTTTGAGTCTTCTTGTGGAGAGAAAAGGCGGGATAATAATAATAATAATAATAACAACAACAACAACAACAACAAATGGAACTTTGAAAAAGGAGATGAAGGAGGGCCTGATTCTTGCATCCCAAGAACTAGCCATTAGAATGGATGCCATCCAAGCCAGAATTGAAAAGTCGATGACAGATCCCAAGTGTAGACTCTGCAAGGAAGCAGATGAAACAATGGATCACATCCTCAGCTGCTGCAAGAAGATTGCACAGACAGACTACAAGCAGAGGCACAACACCGTTGCTCAGATGATTCATTGGAACTTGTGCCACAAATACCATCTGCCTGCGACCAAAAAACCGGTGGGATCACAAGCCGGAAAAGGTTACAGAGAATGAACACATCATGCTACTCTGGGACTTCAGAATTCAGACTTTTGGAGAACAAGACTCCTGACCTAATGATCGTGGGGAAAAACAAAGTATGGGTCATCAATGTTGTAATCCCAGGTGACAGCAGAATTGGCGAGAAGCAACTGGAAAAGCTGACACGATATGAGGATTTAAAGATTGAACTGCAAAGACTCTGGCACAAGCCAATCAAGGTGGTCCCAGTGGTGATCGGCACACTGGGTGCAGTGCCTAAAGACCTTGGCCTGCACTTAAACACAATTGGCGCTGACAAAATTACCATCTGCCAGCTGCAAAAGGCCACCTTACTGGGATCTGCACGCATTATTCGCTGATACATCACACAGTCTTAGACATTTATTATTTACAGTATTTATATTCCGCCCTTCTCACCCCGCAGGGGACTCAGGGTGGATTACAATGTACATATACATGGCAAACATTCAATGCCATAGACACACAACATATATAGACAGACATACAGAGGCTATTTAACATTCCAGCTTTTTCATGAGGGTATTCTGGCCACCAGGGGAGCTGTCGCTTCACCGTCCATTTGTGACACTGATGAAGTACTTCCTCAATTCTTTGCATGCTTCCTGGAGATTTTTATGGCATCGTAAATTAGCCTCCCCGCATAAGCGATACCTAAATTTCCTACTTGACAGATGCAACTGTCTTTTGGACTGCAAAGGTCGACAGCAAGCTACACAAATTGGTTGGAAGCTCACTCCGACCCAGGCTAGCACCACAGTCCTAGACACTCCCAACCAGCTGCGCCACAGTCCTAGACACTTGGGAAGTGTCCGACGTGTGATCCAATACAACAGCCAGCAGAGTGATCTTGTTTGCTGTGGACTAACCTTGTTGTGTTTCAAATAATAATAATAATACCTGAGTTCGATCCCACTCAGCCCTGGAAGCCTACTGGGTGAACTTGGCCAAATTACTCTCTTTCTTCGTCTCAGAGGAAGGCAATGGTAAACCTCACCTGAGGGCACCTGACCCAGGAAACCCTTGGGGAGGGTCACCTGAAGTGAGAGGCTGCTGGAAGGCACAACAAACCACAAAAGCAGACTCTAGACAACCTTTCAGCCCTGAACTTTGCACAAACTCATCCAAGTTGTCAATTGCACCCGGGGAAGTAAACTAGGCTGGCTATTTTTATATGCGGCCGTCATCGGGTGATTCAGAGCCCTCTTGTGTTCCTGGCATGGTGGCTGTTGTTATGGTTCAGGAACCAGATGGTCTGAAGCTTGCATCCCAGGGTGAAACGGCACACTGCCGTCTTTTATTGCTTCCTCTCCTATTTAGAAGAAGAGACATGTAGATATTGATTAAATCGGACCCACACTCCCTCCCCATTTGCTTCATGACCTGATGCCCATTATCCTTTTGCCTATCTTCTGCTAACTGAACATTAGTCAGCTCATGCCTTGAATTATATTTAGCATCATTGCCCGTGGAGCATATTTTTATCATTCTGGGGCCATTTGATGGTAGGAACAGAAAAGGTCTTGGAGCACAGCACAGCCTCACAATAGGAAAGTGGAGTTAAATGTGTCATCTGAAGCTAGCGTTGGAATCCAGGTCATTTAACACCTGTGGTCCTGCTTGAATCAGTGTGACTTCTGGGTGAGAACCATAGGAGAGCCATACTGGGTCAGGCAGGGTTCTGATCAACTTGATGCCAATGGAAGTCTTGCAGTCAGGGCAAAGGCAGCCTCCATTGCTTCCTTGCAACCAGGCCAAAAGGGAAAGGCAGCCTCCATTGCCTCCTTTCCAAGGAAAGGTATAGATAGTAGGCATGGTTGATCCAAAAAAACAAAAAACAAACCCAAGATCCAAAATTACATAAACATCCATGGAACTGGGCACTTGAGACCATAAAACTAAACAAAAGGAAAAATCTCATAAACTAAACGGGAGCTTGGCAAGAACTTGGTATGTGAAACTAAGAGCAATCGAAATCAAGACACTGATCAATTTCCAACGTTGACCTGAATGAGGCAACCCGTTCCCATGCATCAATATAAGGTTTTTTCAGGTTCCAAAACTGAAAGGAAAGCATTTCTCTTGACCTTGCTACCAGATTATGGTTTGTTATCTTTCTTTTGCCATAAGCTAACCGAATGTCTGAGTCTTTGCAGACTGTCTCTGTTTACAGAAACTTTGGTTTCTGTCTAAGTTCTCATTATCAGCGCTCTCTGAACTCTCATTATTATCTTCAAATTATCTTCAGACAGTTGCTCTGAGAAAGGCTGTGAAGGGCCCCTCTCAAGAATGTGGCCTTGGGAATTATTTATTTATTATTTAGGGCTTTTATATCCCATCCTTTCTCAACCTCCACAGAGGGACTCAGGACGGCTATCTTCCTCTTCCTGAAACAACTCCGACTTCTCATCTGAGCTCAACTCAGGCCCAAGCAAACTCTCATCTCCAAAGCTACCATCAGGAACATCATCCCCATTCCCATAATGAATATCAGCATTAACATGAACATCAGACACAATCACAGGCTGAACAGACTGGCATACAACACCAATTCCCAATTTTCCAGAAAACTGGACCAATTTTCAGGATACTTTCTAACTCAATACAACGCAAAGCATCACCCAGCAACCCCCTTTCCTTCCATCTTATCCCCCCTCTCTACATCTTCCACCCCCCTAATAAACCCCAAAAGCTAAAAATGGGCCACAGTAGTGACTCGAAACGAAATAACATTCTTCTGTGTAGCTTGTGGATGACGTTGGAATGAATATTGACCAGTCTCCCCGACAGAGATGCTCTCACCTCTTCTATCCTTTTCTTCAAAATAAATCACTCTCTTGCCATTCTTTCAAGTATTTTCACGTGCGACTATCCTACCACCAGGAAAAAAACGTTCGCGTTTCTTATCTTGCTTTCTGGGCAGTGCGGAAATGGTTAAAAGTTCCAAGTAAACTTAAGAGATTGGGAGAAGCGAGGCTCTGGCAAAAAAGTGGGCCAGAAGAAACTGGAGCAGAATTGCACTCTGGTCCCTCAGGACAATCTGTCTACATTTGGCAGAAAACGAGAGTCTCACTTTCTCTCTGCACTGCTAACCTATTTTACTCATCCGCTAAAAATAGACGACAATGTAGGGCAGAGTTGCCAAGATGCCAGGCAGGCAGCGTTCGGCGGGAGGAAGTGCGTCCATGCGCAGATCAGCAGGGATGCACCGGGATACAGCTGTCCTTCTTCAGTGGGGGTTCTTTCCATGGGTATCTCTCTTATGCATGGAAAGAGAGAGAGAGGCCTTTCCTCAATTCATATAACCGCAGAGTTGGAAAATACCCAGGAACATACAATCTTGCTCCTTAGGTGTTCACATTAGCATCCGAGACGCTGGAGCAGTTTGGGATCCTTATTAAACTCAGACAGTTTTGGACTTCTGTCATAGAAATATACGTTGGAAGAGACCCAAGGGCCATCTAATCCAACCCCCTGCCATTCAGGAAGGCACAATTCTAATCACTCCTGACAAAGTGCCTCTGTTTTAAAGGTGTATTTATTATATTTCAAACTTCCTCATACTAGAGAATGAATCTACTTTAAATCTGGCTTCTTCCTTCTGCAGAATTCTGGGGTTTGTAGTTTAGTGAAGCTGTTAAATTCTGCAGGAGGAAGAATTCTGTATTTTTGTTGTTATTATTATTATTATTATTATTATTATTATTATTATTATTATTATTAAATTTTATTTGTACCCCGCTACCATCTTGCCAAGGGACTCGGTGTGGCTTACATGAGGCCGAGCCCACAATACAACAATAAAACATAGCAACAGTAATACAACAATAAACTCATAAACAGAAGGAAGCAGAAAGCCTCCCACAGAACGGTCACACATCCGGGCGTTCCCTGGGCAACCTCTTTGTAGACGGCCGATTCTCTCATACCATAAGCAACTTGCAGTACATTCTCAATTTGCTTCTAAAACAGTTAAAAATGCCCATTCATAAGTATGAGTTGTTTGTAAGTTGAATACTTGTAACTCGGGGACTACCAATAATCAGATTTGCTGAAGAACAACCTGCAGTTATCTTACAATGCTGCTGTTCTTTTTTTTTCTCCTCTTTAGTCTTAAAAGGACAACTGACATGATGTTTGGAGGAAAGCAGGTGGTCGTCTGCGGCTATGGAGAGGTAAGGCTTCAGATACCTGCCATGATGGATAATCCACCCATTCCTTATCTCTGTCCAGCCACCCCAGGCTCATTATTAGGAATGGTTTTGCTCCCCAAGCCTTTGTCCCTTCACCCTGTTTCTTTCCTCCCTCCCTGCTTTTCTCCTGCAGGTCGGCAAGGGCTGCTGTGCTGCGCTGAAGGCCATGGGCTCCATCGTGTATGTGACAGAGATAGACCCCATTTGTGCCCTGCAAGCCTGGTAAGCCATACAGGAGAGGAAGCAGCCTTTGGTCACTTGGGTGGATTGGACACAGGAGTGGCTTTGATCTCCAACCTTCTAGTGACATTACCCCACTTCATTCAGCCAGTGGTCACAATCCAGCTAGCAATGATGTTCACCAAGACAATGTGGAAATGGGGAGGGGCGGAATCGAGAAGAGCACCACTACTAAGTATTCCACTTAAGCAAGGGTGTCCCTTAGCTGTTTCAAAGAGGTTTACAAAGGAATAGGAACATTTACACTGCCTCCCGCAACCTCATGATAACATGCAACACAGGACATCAGGGGTCCTCAGACTTTTTGAATCTATCCAAGGCAAGGCTTCCAAGGACCAGAAAAGACGTCTTAATTCAATTCCAACGTTGCTTCATCTGACTATAGATTCTGTACTTGGCACTTTTATCCCCTAATCTACTCTATGTCCCAAGTGGCCAGGAACGGATTTCGTTTCAGCCTTGACTCTGTTATCAGTCTCTCTGTCTCAATCTGGCAGAGCGCCGGAGAGATTGGTTTGCCTATGCTGACTGAAAATATGTCTTCTATCTACTGGCGCATTAATTTCTGCAACTGGCCCAGGTGCTGAGCTTTTCTTAGGCTCAAAATCCTGGGAATTTGAGCCTAAGAAATTTGAGCTGGTAGCAATTCAGGCCCTCTTCCAGGAACCATACCATCATCCCCAAACCCTTCAGGAACATTCTCACCAGAAAAGACACTTTGAACAGGAATCCCATTGTCATTCTCTGCATCTAGGGCAACCTCATCATTAGAAACATCATTAGGTACTGTATAAATGTATTGAACACAATAATGTCACTACAGTCCCAAAATGGCCTAATTCTTTTGAATGCTCAGCCTCCACTCACGGTTGGTTCTCTATCCCTAGCTGCAAAAGGATACTGTCAGTAATCGAGATTTCTTTTGGGTGGGTTACAGTAGGCATGGGCAAACACTAGACTGTGAGGAATTGTGGGACTTGAATTCTAAAACACGTGGAGGGAGGGCCGAAGTTTGCCCTGGCCTGGGTTAAAGTTGGCCTTCTGGTATTAGAGACCTGTCTGCTTCTTTCCCACAGCATGGATGGCTTCCGGCTTGTGAAACTGAACGAAGTCATCCGGCAAGTCGACATCGTCATTACCTGTACAGGTACGTCTCCTGCACTATATTGTTAGTAAAGGTAAAGGTTTTCCCCTGACATTAAGTCCAGTTGTGCAGTAAAGTAAAAAAGCACTTTAGGGAAATAGGTAAATCCAATTAGGGAGGAAGATAAGCAGGAACAAAGTAGTCCAGGGTAATAGAAACAAAGTCAAAACTTCCCAAATAAAATGCAAGAAATCAGGAAACATGAATCCAAAGCATGAATATAAAAGCATAGAATCCAAGAATCAAAACCATGAAACAAAGACACTTAAAACATGAATTTTCCAAGCAAAGTGTCCATGAAACAAGAACGAGATCTCGACTTGATTCCAAACGATGCTTCATCTGACTACATATCCTGTACTTGAGACTTTTATCTCCTCATTAGCTATGTCTCTAACACTCAGAAATTGGTTTTGCTTTAGCTGAGAATTTCTTATCTTTTTCTCTTGGAGCCTGGCAGAACGCCAAAGCCACTGTTTGGCTCTCCTGTTTTGACTGATCTCCTCCTCTCTATCTATTTGCTCATTAATTTCTGCAGCTGGGCCAGGTGCTGAGCTGTTTTCATGTTCCCTATCATGGGAACTCTCTGGTAACAATTCAGAAAACACACCAGCATCCCCACACCCCTCAGGGGCATTCTCATGGAAAACTACACTTTGAACGGGAATCTCCTGGTCATTCTCTGCATCAATATCACTGGCCAAACCATTGCCATCTTGAAACTCATCTTGAAACACATTGACATCACTCCCCACATCCAAAGCACCCTGATCCTGAAACACAATCACAGTCTGAGCTCCCAACACAGAAGCAGTAACTATTGATCTACTCACACTTGCATGTTTTCAAACTGCTAGGTTTGCAGAAGCTGGGGCTAACAGCAGGAGCTCACCCTGCTCCCCAGATTTGAACCAGTGACCTTTCAGATAGCAAGTTTAGCAGCTCAGCACTTTAATCCACTGCGCCTCCAGGGGCTCCCCGGGTGGTCTATAAATAAAGTATTATTATTATTATTATTATTATTATTATTATTATTATTATTATTATTATGTGTGAGCAGTATGTACAGCACTGATTGCTTGTTGTAATGGCTTACCTTTGTTTTGAACGACAGGAAACAAAAACGTAGTGACCAGAGAACATCTCGACAGGATGAAGAACAGTTGTATTGTTTGTAACATGGGACATTCCAACACCGAGATTGACGTGGTAAGAACTAGGCCTTCATTTTTTTTTCCAATCTCTGTTCAGTACATTTTCAAAAAAGTAGGAAAGCTGTGGTTTTGAACTTTGAATATGTTTTAATTGACTTTAGCCATGATTTTTTAAATACAGCTAATATTTAATCCTGATTTAATGTTCGCATATTTGTATATTTTAAATTTCGCGCTAATGCTTTTATGTCAAGCTGCTTTGAGTCTCCTTTGGGAGAGATAAAGCGGGGCATAAATAAATATAATAATCATCTCAGATGTTTTGCCCATTGAGAATGAATGATACAAAACAGTGTCAGGGCTGACTTTTTGTGGCCGCCTGCCATTAGTTCTTAGAAATCACAAAATGCAAGAACCAAAAACATCCCAATCAGATAGAAAGAAGGAAGGAAGGAATAGTAGCGAGTTAGTAAGTGAATTCACGCCTTTCAGGCATCTGCTGGCGTGCCATTTTGTGTTCTGCTGCCAAGCAACCCTTGCAATAAACAGTTACTCAGGGCTCTTTGCCTCTTGAGTGGTTCCTTCAGCTCAAACCGTCCCCCAAATGTCAGTGTCAGAGGCGAGTAATCTGAGCCTTGCAATGGGCTTCCTCTGCCAGGACTCTGCTTTGCTCATTGTCCTTTATGGGGCCAAGCTGCAACAGGGTGGCTGCACCTCTGGTTTGAGCGATGGGGGGATAACAGCTGTGGCATTTCTCCCTCTGACATTTCATTGTCCCAAAACCAGTGTGTATTTTGGGAACCCACGTTTTGGGTTAGGGCTCCTAATCTTCCTTCCCCAAGTATCAAGTATTGTTAACCCAGACTGTACCTTCCTGGTGGATATGGCCTTCTCAGGGATGAGAAAGCATGGCTTCTGGAACACATGCACCCCACAGGGCATTTATATCACCCCCCCCCCCCCAGGGACACAATGTCAAGGACAAAAAATCCGGGGGGGTGGGTTTGCCTCAATATTAGCCCTAGAGTAGGCATATTTTGGACTTCAGCTCTCACAATTCCTAATAGCCAGTTGAAATACAACACCGCCTGAGCTCTGCAAGTGCAGCATTTTTCCGAATGAAGCACAGAGTGTTTGAGGACCAGGACATCCTTAAGGAGACCAAGGTGCTTGTTTATAAAGCTCTTGTCCTCCCAACTCTGCTGTGGCAGCCAGCTCTCCACAAAAGTCAACTTTGACACTGAAATACAATGCCACCTGAGCTCTGTGATTGCAGCATTTTTCCAAATGAAGCACAGTGTTTTTGAGGACCTGGGCATCCATAGGGAGACCAAGGTGCTTGTTTATAAAGCCATTGTCCTCCCAACCCTGCTATACGCCTGTGAGACGTGGACTGTCTACAGACGTCACATGCAACTCCTAGAACAATTCCATCAGCGTTGCCTCTGAAAAATCCTGCAAATCTCTTGGGAAGACAGGCGGGGAAATGTCAGCGTGCTGGAAGAAGCAAAGACCACCAGCATTGAAGCGATGGTCCTCTGACATCAACTCCGCTGGACCGGCCACGACCGGCTTTGGGAGACGAATGCCCGACCACCGTCTCCCAAAGCAGTTGCTCGACTCTGAACTCAAGAACGGAAAATGGAATGTTGGTGAACAGGAAAAGAGATTGAAAGATGAGTTCAAAGCCAAACTTAAAATCTCTGGCATAGACACTGAGAACTGGGAAGCCCTGGCCCTTGAGTGCTCCAGCTGGAGGTCAACTGTGACCAGCAGTGCTGTAGAATTTGAAGAGGCACGAATGGAGGGCGAAAGAGAGAAACGTGCCAAGAGGAAGGCGCGTCTAGTCAACCCCAACCGGGACTGCCTTCCACCTGGAAATCAATGCCCTCACTGTGGGAGAAGATGCGGGTCAAGAATAGGGCTCCACATTCACCTACGGATCCACCGCCAGGACACCGATCTTGGAAGACTATGCTACTTGGACAACGAGGGATCGCCTAAGTAAAAACTCACCCAGTAGAAACTCTTAAAGGACATATTCAGTATGTCTTATTAAAGAGTGAGAAAATCACTAGTGGTCTATAGGCGTCCCTTTCCTTCTAATTTGTTTAACAAATGTGTGTGTGTGTGTGTTCTGTTTTGGTTAGACCACATCTGGAATTTGTGTCCAATTCTGGGCACCACAATTCAAGAGAGATATTGACAAGCTGGAATGTGTCCAGAGGAGAGCGACTAAAATGATAAAAGGTCTGGAGAACAAGCCCTATGAGGAGCGGCTTAAGGAGCTGGGCATGTTTAGCCTGAAGAAGAGAAGGCTGAGAGGAGATATGGTAGCCATGTATAAATATGTGAGAGGAAGCCACAGGGAGGAGGGAGCAAGTTTGTTTTCTGCTTCCCTGGAGACTAGGACGCAAGGAACAATGGCTTCAAACTACAAGAGAGGAGATTCCATCTGAACATGAGGAAGAACTTCCTGACTGTCAGAGCCGTTCAGCAGTGGAACTCTCTGCCCTGGAGTGTGGTGGAGGCTCCTTCTTTGGAAGCTTTTAAACAGAGGCTGGCCATATGTCAGGGGTGATTTGAATGCAATATTCCTGCTTCTTGGCAGAATGGGGTTGGACTGGATGACCCATGAGGTCTATTCCAACTTTTTGATTCTATGATTCTGTGTGTGTGTGTGTGTGTGTGTGTATCCATCCATCTTTAGTGTGGCTCCCAACTCCATGCAGTTGCTTTCCTCTTCCCAAACCACATAGACTCTTTGAATCAGTCCCCTTATGTTAGTACATATTGGTATCTCCTCAACCTCAGTTCCCAATTATTTTGGGGTTGTTTGCTTCTACTACCAGCTTCCTGGAAGTCAGTTTTATTTGAGTCGTGCTTTCGTGCCATTACTGCACAACCCATAATGGTGCAATCTCATGGCAATTGAGCTAATCTCTGAAATGTCGCCTGGGAGCAATTTGAGTAAACACTCAGGAGCTTGATCTTGTGTGACAAGAGCCCCTCTGGCAACACTTAAGTCACAGGTTGTTTACCCAGCAATGTTTTTGTTCTTCCTTTGGGGAAGAGGTGACGGGGGCGAGGAGAGTTGTCACGACAAAAGTTCATAAAATTCACGCACCGTTATAAGAAAACAGAGGGAGAAGTTTCTGATGACACTAAAACCTAGTGGGGTCATCCAATGAAATTATCTGCTTGAGGAGTCAAGATAAATAAAACTCGTTGCAGGGAACAAAAGTCCTTTTTGGAAGAGGTCACAAGATAGAATGGCCATCTGCACCTTTTAGATCAGCCATGGGCCAGCTTCGACCCTCCAGGTGTTGTGGACTTCAACTCCCACAATTCCTAACAGCCAGCTCCAGCTTCCAGCTGTTTATGGCACTTTCCCAAGTGCTCTCACCTTTTGGCCCTCCTCTGAGCCAACTGATTACATCTTTGTTGGATGGCTCCTATTCTTAATTGCAGCCTTAACTGCTGGAATGCTTAAGCCCTGATCTGCTTCCTGAAGCTCCTGATCCTGCTGTCAGCTGAAGCTTAGCAAAAGTAGTCAAGGTAGTCCATGGCTGACATAGAGAGTTTTAATAATCAGAGAATGCCAAAGAACGCACCTCCCCTTACGGACCATCAAGGACCCTGAGATCATCTGGGGAGGCCCTGCTCTCGGTCCCACCTTCGACACAAGCACATCTGGTGGGACGAGAGACAGGGCCTTCTCAGTGGTGGCCCCTTGGCTATGGAACACCCTCCCTAGGGAGATCATATCGGCTCTCTCTCTACTAACATTTCAGAGGTAAGTTAAAACATGGTTGTTTGAGCAAGCATTCACAAATGCAGAGTAAACGACATAGGAAATTGAATGACATGATGACGGAATTCGACAATGCTTGATAATAAGAAGATGCTAATGATGTTGTTATTGTTGTTGTTTTATACTGTTTTAATGTTTTAACTTATTTTATGATATTATGTGTACTGTTTTGTTGGAAACCACCTTGAGTCGCCGATTGGCTGAGAAAGGGGGTATACAAATACAGTAAATAAATAAATAAATAAATAAAAGTCTGGTCCGAAGGTCACATATACACAAGGCTCACCAGCTAGTCCCAATGAAGTCCAGGTTCATTTACAAAGGCAGTCCAAAGTCAGCTGTCGGTCCAACAAGGACAAAGCATACAAATAGTCCAGAGCCCTTTCCAAAGGTTAAAGCCAAGCAATCTCAGAAACTCAAGCCATAATCCAAAACATAGCACAGTCACCAAAGTCAAGGTCCAATCAAAACGTTCACCGACAGATATTCTTGCTGTAGCAATTCCATAACGTTGCTCCCAGCAACTACTAGCTCCAGCTTCCAGCTGTTTATGGCACTTTCCCGAGTGCTCTCACCTTTTGGCCTTCCTCTGAGCCAACCAATTACATCTCAGTTGGATGGCTTCCATTCTTAATTGCAGCCTTAATTGCTGGAATGCTTAACTCCTGGTCTGCTTCTAAAGCCCCTGGTCAAGATGCTGCAGCCAAAGCTTAGCAAGAGTAGTCAAGGCAGTCCACAGTCAACATAGAGATAGCACTTACAGTTTTGATAATCAGAGAATGCCAAAGTCCTGGTCCAAAGGTCACATATGCACAAGGCTCACCAGCTAGTCCAAACAGAGTCCAGGGTCATTCACAAAGGCAGTCCAAATAAGGTAGCAGGCATAAGGAGTGTTCTGAGAGTCTGGTCCGGGAGTCAAAACACATAACCATCTCGCCAATATCCACGACACAAAATACACGGTCTAAGGATCAACGTCACATGCTGAAATATCCAACACAACTATTGCTTCCCCCAAGGAGTGCTTTGAATGCAATTTTCCTGCTTCTTGGCAGAGGATTGGACTGGATGGCCCGTGAATCATAGAATCATAGAGTTGGAAAAGACCTCATGGGCCATCCAGTCCAACTCCCTGCCAAGAAGGAGGAAAATTGCATTCAAAGCACCCCTTTGAGGTCTCTTCCAACTCTATGATTCTAAGGTGCTGTTGCAAACGCCCAGCTTTTATGCTGCCTCCGCAAAAGTCCTACCGCTGGTCATTCCTCTTTTGGGCCAAGTTATCTGACCTGCATCACAGCTGAATTGCACCCACTCTGAACTGTAACCAGGCACCAGGTGTTAATCCTGCCCTTCCTTCTGAAGGGCCTTATCCTGCTCAAACTCAGCTGCTTCTACAGGATCGCTTTCAGTCATGTCAGGCTGTTCCTCTCTCATGAGCTCAGACTCTGCTGCAGGGAGGCAAACCCCCTCCTCTTGGCCCAGGGTGCTGACCCCTTCCCTCACTCTGCATCCCTCCTTTCCTGAGGCTTCTTGTCTTCAGGGATAGATCCCTCAGTGTCAGGCTGCTGTTGTTTGCTTGCCCCTGACTCGGATGCTGGGCGAAGCAGCCCTTCATCTTTGTCCTCATCACAAGCCCTGACAGACACTGGGATTGGGAAATCCTGAACCTCCTAATTCTAGAGAGCTGGTCAACCTCACTCATCCTGCAAGGAAATTATTCAGTCATGAGAAGAGAGAGACCACTTGAGAAGTGAAAAGGCCTCTTGCTGCTTCCTCAAAGCCCTTCCTTGCCTTGCAGGCCAGCTTGCGCACGCCGGAGCTGACGTGGGAGAGGGTGAGGTCTCAGGTGGACCACGTCATCTGGCCGGACGGGAAGAGGATCGTGCTTCTGGCAGAGGTAAGGAGGCACACTCTGAGGGGTAGGGAAGGTTAGTGTTCATGCACAGCGCCCGGATATCTCTAGTCCTTTTTCCTTCCCAATCAAAGGCTAGAAATCAAGGACATAAAATACAATAATTTATTCTGCAGAAGCACTCAGGGGTGGTTTTCCAATCCAGACAAGTGAAGAGAGCATTAAGGAGAGTGCCACATTTGACTGTCTCTGAATCATGGGCTTTGTAGTCTCAAACATGCACAATCCAAGATATCAAGACTATTTTTCTCTGGGTTGTTGTAGGTTTTTTCGGGCTATATGGCCATGTTCTAGAGGCATTCTCTCTTCAGGAGAGAATGCCTCTAGAACATGGCCATATAGCCCGAAAAAACCTACAACAACCTAGTGATTCTGGCCATGAAAGCCTTCGACAAAACATTTTTTCCCTGTCTGCAGTTTTCCCTTCTCAGCTTATCCTTCAAATCCATCATCTCTGTGTCTCTCTCTGTTCCTAAACATCCTTTGTTTTCTTTTTGTTCTGTAAACAAATCCTGCATCTTCCCATCTGTTTTGGGTCAGCCTGATCTCTCGCTACCTCTCACCCAGATGTCTTGCCCTGGCTTTTAGCAACACTTACCTATCTCAAATCCCTTCTTGCTCTTTCTTGCTCCCTTCTTTTCCTTTAACCCTTCTAACTTCTTCTTTAATTCACTTTACATTTCCTGTTCTGAACAGTAGGCAACAGTAGGAAGATGGCCATCCCTTTGAAGTCAGATAGCAGAGGGTGGGCCCAACAACGCACCTGGAGCCCTTTCTTTCTGGCTGATGAGACCACTGGCTGAGTCCACCTCCCTTTGGGCTTGTGCTTGCTGTTTCTGCCTCATATTTACTGTAAATGGATATGGGGACTAGGCCAGTTGTTCAAGGTCCCTTTCAGGTCGGAGCAATCTACTGGTTAGGAAAGGCAGGGTTCAATACTAATGCACCTTTGCGTTTCAGGGCCGCCTGCTGAACCTGAGTTGCTCCACCGTCCCTACATTTGTGCTGTCCATCACCGCAACCACCCAGGTGAGTGGGATCTTATTTCTGCTTTGTCTTCATGCAGAAAGCCTGGAAAAAGCTACCATGGTCATGTTGGCAGCGGGATGCTGAGATTTGTAGCTCAAGAGCAAAAAATGAAAGTTAATTTTGTAAGAAAAAAAAGTTCTGCTCTTGGTACTGAAGCGCTTGGCTAGAATCGCGTCCATGACATATGCATGCATAAGTGTGGACATACCCTTACTTATCTCTCTCTTTTTCTTTTGATGGAACACAAGATGTTCTTCTGTAGCCCTTTGTGCAAAACGCTCCAACTAGCCACCCAACAACTTACAGGAGGGGTCATTACTGTTGCTGTTTATGAATTGGGAGATTAGAGTGCAGGGGGACAATTGTTGTACCCTGGTCAGATTCTGAGTGTTCAGATGAGGAAGCAGGGGGTGCTGGGAGGGATTCAGAGGACTCAGAGGAGAGTGAAAGAGGCCCAGAGAGAGATGTTATGGAATCTCCTGGCAGTTCCCAAAAGAACATTGAAGGTGATAGCCGTTCCCATGGGAACCTGCCAGAAGTACAGACTGAGCTGTCAAGGTCAGAGAGATTGGTACTGAGAAAACAGAGTTTGCAATTAAGACAGACTCACTTCTCCAAGCGACTTAGAGATAAGGGAAGCAGGTGCAGGAGAAATGATTTCATGGGAGGGATTCTGGCTTTTCAAAAGTGGTTAATGCTGGTATAATCTTTGTGAGAGCAACTTTGCATTCAGTGAGGAATTCTGGATTCATGGGCCTTGGAATTCATGCATGCAAGTTTTCAAGTTTTTCCTGTGTCATGGTCTTGTGAGGCGTAGACTTGCCTGCCTTGGATTTATGTCCCATGTCTTTGGATATCTCAGTGGAATTGTTTTAGAGACTTTCTCTGAATGGCTTTCTGGACTCTTGGCTTTTATGGAAATACCCTTATGAACTTTGATTCCTTTTTTATATTTGCTTGTTTTTCATATAGCAGCTTTTATTATACTTTGCTTTTAATAAATCATAGCAGCCCCTTGAGTAATTCTTGTGGCGTAGTGTAAAATAAACCACGTGTAATTCATGTTTGATCAGCCCACACACTGCCTTGCCAGAGAAAAAAAATATGCAACGCAGGTGAACAATAAAGAACAAGTAGTTTACTCTTCATAGTTCAGAACAACATATGTACAATGTGATCAGTTGCATTAGTTCACATAATGTCCTTGTATGAGAGATTTAAAATTGTAATTCTCTGTCCATATGGATAAACTCCTTCAGCAGCTCATGATGTGAGATCACACTCTAAACTTTATCTCTCTCTGCTTGTCGTCTTCTCTCTGAACACTTGCATAGCTCAAGCCTGAACAAAAATGTAACCGTATCCAAAAGTCCCAGTCTTAGCTGTTCCCTGGCATTGCCCAACCAATCAGCTTCATGCATCTTATTTTACAGTTGACACACACACATTCACTGATTCCTTGCATGCTCTAACAATTCTTTGTATATCCTTCTGTTGTCCTGTTTTCCTCCCATTGTTTTATATTCTGAATTACAGAGCTGTACATGCATTAGGCTTTCTTCACTGGGAATGCATTGTCGATGCTTTCTTTCTTTCTTTCTTGAGAAGCCAAAAGGGCTTTGTATTATACATGGCCTTCTGAATGTGACTGTGTTGTAAATCTGTTCACGGGACATGCATGTCTTCCCCCCCCCCTTTTTTTTTTTTTCATTCCCTTTCTCAGCAATTGCTAAAGCGGAATAACTTGTCTTTGCTGCAAAGCTCCATGCCTTTTCAGTATCCTCCTGAGAAGGTCACAACCAATATAAACCCACTCGCTGTGTATGTGAGGTTGCCCTCCTATCTTACCCTCATTACTTTATTTACTTTACCTACCAACATCTGACCTGCTGTTCAATTGTCTGCTTTGGAGAGACTCTTTCTAGAACTCTTCATGGTGTACTTAATGATTTTATCGTCCTAATAATTAGTGCTGAATGTGATCCAAAATGTGGCAAATGTTGCACTCCAGACCAGGAAAAGCCCTCTGACTTTAAACACCACACAGTTGAGTAGGCTGTTAGGAATTGTGGGAGTTGAAGTCCAAAACACCTGGAGGGCCCAAGTTTGCCCATGCCCATCCTAAGTTTGCCTGGTATAAACTCATATATGAGGCAACCTCATGTAATAGTCAAGGACAAGTTTGGGGTCCAGAATGATGGGTTTTGATATGACAGGAGTTGGTTAATTTGTTGATTTTCAAATTCAAATTTTAAAATTTCACATTTGAATTTGAAAATTTTGACTTATATTCACCTGTGGAGAAGCTGAGCCAGGTTTAGGGGTTGGTTTTTGACTGAAACTTCTAGACTTAAAGGAGTATTTATATGTTTTCACTATTTATATGTTTTTTCACATATGTATTGATATGTTTTCACTGTGTTTTCCTCCTTTCCCAGGCCCTGGCCTTGATAGAGCTCTACAACGCCCCCGAGGGACGCTATAAGCAGGATGTCTACCTGCTTCCTAAAAAAATGGGTGCGTTTCAGCAATTGTTATTATATTTATTACTATATTATTACTATATTTATTTGTATACCATCTATCTATCTATCTATCTATCTATCTCTCTATCTCTCTCTCTCTCTCCCTCCCTTCCCTCTCCCTCCCTCCCTCCCTCCCTCCCTCCCTCCCTTCCTTCCTTCCTTCCTTCCTTCTGTCCTTCCTGCCTTTCCTTCTTTCCTTCTTGCTTCCTCCTTCTTTTCTTTCCTTTCTTTCTGTTCTTTTCCGCTCCTTCCCTTCCCTTGCCTTCCTCTTCCTTTCCTCTCCCTCTCTCTCTCTTCTTTCTTCCTCTTCTCTTTCTCCCTCTATTTCTTTCTTTCTCTCTCTGTCTCTTCTCCTTTCCTTCCTTTTCTCTTTTTCTCTCCCTCTTTCTTTGTCTCTCTGTCTCTGTCTCTTTCTCTCTCTTCCTCTTTTTCTCTCTCCTCTGTCTCTCTTTTTCTCCCTCTTTTTTGTCTCTCTATTTCTCTTTCTCTTCCTCTTTCTCTCTCTCCTCTGTCTCTCTTTTTCTCCCTCTTTTTTGTCTCTCTATTTCTCTGTCTCTTTCTATCTCTTTCTCTCTGCTCCTCTTTCTCCGCCTCTGACTCTTTCTTTCTCTCCCTTTCCCTCTTTTTTTGTCTCTGTCTTTCTTTCTTTCTTTCTTCCTCTTTGTCTCTGTCTTTCTTTCTTTCTCTTTCTTCCTCTTCCTTATTCTTTGTCTCTTTCTTTCTCTGGTTGGATCTACACTGACATAAAATCCAGATTTTTAAAGCAGATAATCCACAATACCTACTTTGAACTGGATTATATGAGTCTACACTACCATGCAATCCAGTCCAAAGCGGATAAAGAGAAAGAAAAAGAGGAAGAAAGGGAAAGAGACAGAGGAAGAAGGGATAAAGAAAGGGAGATAAAGAGGAAGAGAAAGACAAACAGAAGGAAAAGAGGGGTGAGAAAGAAAAAGGAAGAGGAAGAAGGGAGAAAGAAAGAGAGGAAGAGATAAAGAGGAAGAGAGAGAAAGATAGAGAAGGAAGAGGGGGAGAAAGAGAAAGAAAGAGAGAGAAAAAGAAACAGAGGAAGAAGAAGGGATAAAGAAAGGGAGATAAAGAGGAAGAGGAAGAAAAACAGAAGGAAAAGAGGGGGAGAAAGGAAGAGGAAGAAGGGAGAAAGAAAGAGAGGAAGAGACAAAGAGAGAGAGAAAGAAAGAAAGAGACAGGTGCCCCTTCTACATTGCCATATAAAATTCATATTCTCCCCCTCTCTTCCTTCTCTTTCTTTCTCTTCCTCTTTATCTCCCTTTCTTTCTCCCTTCTTCCTCTGTCTCTTTTTCTCTCTTTCTTTCTCTTTCTCCCCTTCTATTCCTTCTCTATATTTCTTTCTCATCCTCTTTATCTCTCTTTCTTTCTCTCTCTCTCTCTCCCTCTTGTCTCTTTCCCTTTCTTTCTCTCTTTCCTTCTCTCTCTCTTCCTCTTGTCTCTTTCCCTGTCTTTCTCTCTTTCCCTCTCTCTCTCTCTCTCTCTCTCTCTCTGAAGTTGGATGATGAGAGTAGAAACGTTTCCCCTGCCACTGATTCCCTTCTGAACCCATATCCAGCAGCCGAGGGGGATCAGCAGTCGAGGTTCCCCTTGCAAATTGCAGTGAGCAGTTTTTTGAAGGCAAAGGGGGAGTGGGAAGAACGGTCATGCAGACATAAAGCACCTATTTGGCATGCAAAACCACCCAGGTTCCTTCCCCAGGTGTGGCCACAAAGACAGAGCATCCAGAGCTCTGACTAACTCCATGGAGAATAACCATGCCCTGATGCCTCCTCAAGCTGTGGGCGTTGCTGACGGAAGTACGCTGCATGTGTGCTTTGGCTTCTAGTAAATGCAGTAGTTTGCCACCCTGGCAAGCACCCAGTGACACATCCCACACACCTCGATTTTCCTGGGCATCCGGATTTTCTCTGCCTGGAAGAAGAGGCCTTTGAGGTCATGCCAGTGTGACAGCCTGCCTTCCCTTTGGGAACAATTGATAAAAGAAGAATGCACCAGAGCCAGATTAACCCTCAATCAGGGTTGTTCCCAAACGAAGGCAGCATTGCCCAAGATGCATCTATGCAGTAGAATGAAAGCAGTTTGATACCACTTTAACTGCCATGGTTCAAAGATATGGAATCACCAAACTACAACTCCCACAATTCCATCGCATTGAGCCATGGTGGTTGAAGTGGGGCCAAATTTCATTAATCCTACATGGTAGACCAGACATAGGCAAACTTGGGCCCTCCAGGTGTTTTGAACTTCCAACTACCACAATTCCTAACAGCCTACCGGCTGTTAGGAATTGTATGAGTTGGAAGTTCAAAACACCTGGAGGGAGGGCTGAAGTTTGCCCATGCCTGGTGTAGATACATCCTCACTTGGCCCACATGGTGTTGCATCCCAGATCAGGAAACATGACCATAAGATTAAATCCACCACATTGGACTGTAGGAAAAACAATCCTTTTTAATTGATGAAAAATTGGTTACAAAAAAAAGGCCAATGCAAAGTCAAAGAGCCACAATAGAAACACAGCAGTCAGGAAAATCTCTGAGCTTGAGAAAAATTCCAAAAACCAGAATACAAAAACCAGGAACCTGTTAGCATCTCACTAACCATGTACTTGAAAACTAGAAGCCTCTGGGATTACCGGCCATGGAACACAGGAATTCTGCCAAGGCACAGCCTCAGTCCAAAACATTGCTTGATCTAACGAGACATCCGGAAGGAGGCCCCTTAAACCAAAGAAACTATTCCTTGAAACGCCCCTTGACTTTGAAGCCTGGGCCTGTCTCTCCTGTAATCTATTTGACCTTCGTAGAAACTGTGAATCACTCCTGTCTCTAGCTATCTGTTCCCTTCGGTCCTCATTAAAAAACCCAGGTGTGATTTCCTCTGGAGAGCTATCACGGCTGGATTCCAAAACATTTTCATCAGGCTGTTCAGTTTCACTTTCCTCGCCACTGACCTCAGCATCAACAACAGTTTCAACACTATCAGGGAGAGATACATGTTCCGTGGCTTGCTCAGTTGGAAATACAATCATAGACTCAGGTTCACACAGAGATTGGGGCTCAGGTTCACACAGAGCAGGCTGAACCCCAACACATGGTTTGGTGATGACAAATTTGGGGACTTGCTGTCATTCTGCTAACACGGCACTCCCTTTTCCATACCAGATGAGTACGTGGCAAGCCTTCACCTCCCGACGTTCGATGCACACCTGACGGAGCTCACGGACGAACAGGCGAAATACCTGGGGCTGAACAAGAACGGGCCTTTCAAACCAAACTACTACAGGTACTCTTCCTTCCTTGTTGCTGTTGTACTTCAGCCTTTGATTATGACTGCACCTGAGATCTCTGGGGATTCTGGACCTGTTGGTCAACCTGTTGACACAGGGGATTCTGGGCCTATTAGTCAGTCTGTTGACACAGGAGATTCTGGGTCCGCAAGTCTGCAGGAAAGCTGTTAGGGTTTCTGGGAGTTGAAGGCCAAAACATCTGGGGACCCACAGGTTGAGAACCACTGAGATAGAGTAAGGAACTCTTGCCTTGTTCCTCACTTCAAGCCATATCTTGATCAAGTTTTGCTTTAAGTCTTGGGAATTTTACCATTAACTCAAGCTCATGTATTGTTCTTTGATTCTTGGATTACTCAAGTTAATATTTTATTCCTTGTCTTTTGGATTATTCAAGCTCATGATTTTTCTCTTCTCCTTGGATTTATTTTGTGCTTTAACCTCTGGAGATCCATCTCTGGCTTTTGTGACTCCTTTTATCTTACCTATTTGGGTTTTTCACTCTTTTACTGTGTGTGCTTTTTCAATAAACTGTTTATTCCTACTTTTGGCTTCCTGGTGAGTGCTTGAGCAAGGTGAACCCTCGCTGAGGTGCAACACAGACTATACCAAGTAATCTATATTCCGTTAGACTTGGAAGGGACCCCTAAAGGCCATCTGCTCCAACCTACTTCTGCCTGGGTAGCATTCATTAGTCACTGTCTTGATTGTAATATTTTTCAATACGGGCAGCCAAATTTCCATGGTTTCTTCCTTTCTGTTGAAATTGTGTTCGTGGATGTCAGTGGTTTCTCTATGTAGTCTGGTATGATGGTTGTCGGAGTGGTCCAGCATTTTTGTTTCATCAAATAATTAATATTCTGTGCCCAGTTCAGTTTATCCTGTGTTCTGCTTTGACTGATCAGTCGAAAGGCCGGTCAAGGGATAGGGTTACAGCCTGTGTTAGACGGGGTCACACTCCCCCTGAAGACACAGGTTCGCATCTTGGGTGTGATCCTGGACTCACCACTAAGCCTGGAACCCCAAGTCTCGGCGGTGGCTGGGAGAGCTTTTGCACAATTAAAACTTGTGTGCCAGTTGCGCCCATTCCTTGGGAAGTCTGACTTGGCCACAGTGGTCTACACTCTGGTTACATCCCGAATAGACTACTGCAACGCTCTCTATGTGGGGCTGCCTTTGAAAACTTCTCGGGAGCTTCAATTAGTCCAATGGTCGGCAGCCAAGTTGTTAACCGGAGCAGCGTATAGGGAGCGTAATACTCTTTGGCTGCGCCAGCTCCACTGGCTGCCGATTGGCGTCCGGGCACAATTCAAAGTGCTGGTTTTAACTTTTAAAGCCCCTAAACGGTTCTGGCTCAGATTATTTGTCCGAACGTATCTCCTATTATGAACCATCACAAAGCTTAAGATCGTCAGGAGAGGGTCTGCTCTCAATCCCACCACTCTCAAACGCGATTGGTGGGGTCGAGAGACAGGGCCTTCTCGGCAGTGCCCCCCCCCCCCCCCCCCCCGTCTGTGGAATACCCTCCCTAAGGACATCAGGTTGGCTACCTCCCTCCTGTCCTTTAGAAGACAACTGAAGACTCGGCTCTGTGGCAAGGCATTTGATTAGATGAAGTGACAATAGGAAAGGAATTTGGGTTTGCAACTTTGAATTTCCCTGCTTGATTTTTGGTTTTACTGGCACTCTAATATTATTGTTAAATGAATTTATTGGCTGATTTGTATGATGTTTCTAAAATGTTTTTACTGTTTTACTATTTTAATTGTATGTTTATGATGTATACATTGCAAGCATCATTGATGCCTATGTGAGGCCGCCCTGAGTTGTCACGTTGCCAGGGATCTGCCTTATTTAGGTAGAGATGAACCAAACTTCATGTTTTATCAAACAGTTTAATTAAAACAGCACTTACTTGCTGGCTGTTTTAATAGACCAAAATATAAAACAAAGATAGCACTCAGCCACAGAATAAACAAAAACTGATAGCAAAAGCTACACCTTACTCAAAGGGTCCAGTCCAGTGGTCAAAACGCCGAGAGGTCAATGAGCGAGCTCTAGCGACCAAGAATCTATACCGTAGTCAAAAGTCAGTCCAAAGGTTCAAGGTTCCAGGGTTCCAAGATTACAGGAGACATGTCAGGATACTGAAAATCCAACAGACCTGGGGGAAAAACCAGCAGCATCCACCACCAAAATATTTATTTACTTTATATACTGCTTTTCTCAGCTCTCAGGCGACTCAAAGCAGTTAACAACCTCGATACAAAACATCACGAGACAAATATAGGGCAATTATGACAATATTTTTCTCCCAAAGATCAATCCCAAGGTTAGCTCCTTAAATCCAGTAACACCCAGCTGCAGCCTATCCCCTGCATGCCTCCACCCTTCATTGCTTTTACCTGTAAACTTTTACTTACAAATTACTAAATCCTTTAGAACCAAAACTTACATTAACTCTTCCATCACCAACTGCCAGGTCTACCACCACCAACCACCATCAACTATGGAGCATATGACATTGAGTCCCCCTTGTGAAATCAATCAATAAATAAATGTTTCTGATTCCTTTCCAGGTATTAATCCCCTTCTGGCCGTAGCTGGACGGAGGGACGGAGGGCTCCCCACCGCTCTTCCCGGCTACTTTGTACAGGACAAGAACCCAGGACAAGCTTCTCGACGTAGAACCGTCTCGCTGCCGTCGTCCACCGCGCGTGTGTTAGGTCTATTTATTTATTAAAACTAGGAATACTGTCAACGCGGCCTCTGCCACTGGTGTTTCTTGAAAACTGCCACAGGACTGTGAGGAGGAAGGATGGCTTTGTTTTGGGGGGTGGGCCCAGGGTGGTGAGAAAGGGGGACGGAAGAGGAGGGCAACTACGCATTGGATGGCAGGCTTTGGCCAGCTTTGGAGCAGTCTCGTTCTCACTGTTGTGTCTAGTCCTCTTTACGGCAGGGAGTTTGGAGGAAGCGGACAAGATTCGGACAGAGTTGGAAGCAAACCCTGAAAGGATCCCTGGAGTTCTTTTGGGCCTTCTTTCCAAGCCGTGGCGAGAAAACCCAAGGCAGATCCATGCAATGCAATGCCTCTGAAGACTCCCTCCTGCTTCTTTTGACTCTGGATACTGCTGCTGCTGCTATTGCTGCTTTACTCATTGTAGGAAACTGTTCTTAACATGGCTGTAGACCAAGGTGGGGGTGGGGAGGGGTGTATTGGCATCTTTCAAGGAGGACTCCAAAAAGTGTGTCTCTTTGCTGCAGAAGTAGCTTTCCCAGAGCCTTGCAAACATATTGTGTCCCTTTTTGCAGGGTTTGTGAGCAAACAATTCCATTGCTTTCCCAAACCTGCCCAAAGCTCTCCTCTGGAACGTCGCATGTCCATTGGCCCGACATTATAATTTGACCACCCAAACCCGACCTGTAGGCACCTTCTGAGAGTGCAAACCCACCTTTCATCGCAATGAGAACGCCGTCTCTCTCTCTCTCTCTCTTGGTCCCTTTTTGGCTCACCGTCCTTCTCTTTGCAGAACAATGTCAACTTTGTGCCCCGTCTGCACTGCCATATAAAATCCAAATTATCTGCTTTGAACTGGATTATATGGAAGTGTAGAAAGGACCTTGGTTTCCCTACTTTTCTGAGCATCGTTCTTTCTGTCCTTAGTGGCTGGCTTTCTTTAGCGCAGGCATTCCAAACATTTTCACGTTCTTGCTCAAGATCGAGCTGATTTCAAATCATGCGAATGGATATGTGTGATTGTATTGTCGAAGGCTTTCATGGCCGGAATCACTGGGTTGTTGTAGGTTTTTTCGGGCTGTGCCATCACACCCAGATCCTATAAAATTAAAACTAAAATGTGCTTCTCTCTTTGTCTGGGCGGACCACGGGGGGTCTTTCTTTAGAAGCTCAAAAATTCTCAGCAACTGAGGCCACTTCAGATTTGGAACATCAAAACAGAGTATTTATTTCTCAAAGTCCTTGGCAGACTTGGCACAGCTTGTCAAAGTTACAAACAAAACAGTCAAATGATGAAACCATAGAGATGATCTTTCTTTCTTTTTCCTTCAGTTACTGAGGTAATTCTCCCCCAAATGGTAGAAAATATCCTGGGATCCTTTCACCCTAACCCTGAGCAGGTTTTTCCCTATCTATAGCTCAAGGTTAGCTTTGGAGATGAAGTAATGCTCAATAATATTCAATAACTCAATATCTATCTATAACTCAATTCCTCACTTGCTATCTATCTATCTCAATTAGCTTATTTATCTATATAACTCAATCATATCTCAATTGCTATTCTCTCTATCTATCTATCTATCTATCTATCTATCTCAGTTAGCTTCTTTATCTATATAACTCAATTGTACTTACAATGATTTTTTCAGAGCTCCCTGCCTGACCAACAGCACATCTGAAACTTTCTTTCTCTACACTGAAGGAGGCAGGGGAGATTCCAAAATGGAGATTTCCAACCCTAGGAAAAAGGGCGGTCTCGACACCCAAAGAGATACCTTCCTAAACCAATAGCTGCAAAAGGGGCTGCAGGCCGGCTTTGCAGACTCTGATACTGTTTAACTTCCAGGGTGCTGCTGGGTTGTGGCAGCCCTGGGAAAATGCAAAAGAACACTATCCCATGCAACTAAAAGGTAATGCAAACTATGCTCCTGGAAGACAGAATATGGGATATATGGCCATGTTCTAGAGGCATTCTCTCCTGACGTTTCCCCTGCATCTATGGCAAGCATCCTCAGAGGTAGTGAGGATGCTTGCCATAGATGCAGGGGAAACGTCAGGAGAGAATGCCACTAGAACATGACCATATAGCCCGAAAAAACCTACAACAACCTAACATTAGGAATTGTCCTGGCCTCCTTGAAAGTTTAGCTTTTTCGATATTTCCCATTGCAAAGTTTACCTCTTTGCAATGTTTTCCTTGCAAAATTACCTCTTTTAGTATTTTTTTTCCCATTGCAAAGGGATGGTTTCTGTTGTGATCTTCATAGGAAAAGTCTGTTGAAGAATCCCCACCCGAAAAAAAATGCAGGAAACCTAAATCATTCCAATAGTTGTGACCCTAAAAGTGTGAGAATTGGGTCTTTTCTCATAGTCGGTCGCTGGCTAAACCATGTCATGCTGCTGTCCTCTTTTGTCAATGTATTTGTGATGATCAATTTTTGTGTTAATTGCATTTGAACGAAGGGGAAAGGAAGAATTCTCCCGTTGGGAAAGAAAGAGGACTTGGTAAATTTCCCCTTTGTTTCCTGCTTGCTTTTCTTTCCGCAAAACCTTGTTTCTCCTTCCTAATCGATCTGGGATCTATCTCCTCCCTCTGCGATCCCCAATCAATCAATGTTTTGTTTTGATTCATGTCCCAATTTGCAAAGAGTATTGGAACCAAAACAAACCAACCCACCCATACGGCGACACCAGCAAAAATCACAAAAGAGGGCAAAATCAGGAAACGCGCGATAAGGAATGATTATAACATTCCGAATGTCGGAAACCAGGAAAACCGAAACCGCGAACGGTCCGTTCTCCGATGAAGAAGTTTTTAAAGAAAAGTATGAGATTATAATATTTTCCAAAAAAAGAAAGAGAGAGGATGTTTTAAATATTCAATGTCTTTTGAGTGATTGTATTAGATCAGCAATAAGGACTCTGTAATCTCAAAACGTACAAATAAAATCTTGTAAAATCCACGCCAGGCTTTACTGAATGGTTCTTTGGTTGCATTTTAATACTAATAATACTAATACTTTATTTGTACCCCGCTACCATCTCTCCAAGGGACTCGGTGCGGCTTACATGAGGCCGAGCCCAAACACAACAATACAAGCAATAATCACAACAACAGCAATACAAAACAATATGAAACTCATAAACAAAAAAACAAGCAGTAAACATTAACAATAGCACAACAACGCTTAAAAACCTATGGCTGGGCCAAAGGTAATAATTAAAATTTTAAAAAAAATAATGCTGAGCATGACCAGGTGAAATATATAACTAGGATAGGATTTCGGAGAGGAAAGGGATGTACAGACAATCCTAAATCATTGATAAAGTGCACTTAGGGACATATTGCTGGGAGTTTCCTTATTCTGGGAAGGTACACCGGAACAACCACGTTTTCAAGCTCCTCCTAAAGACTGCCAGAGTTGGGGCATGCCTGATGACCTTGGGGAGTGAGTTCCAGAGTTGAGGGGCCACCACCGAGAAAGCCCTCTCCCTCGTCCCACCAATCGCGCTTGCGATGGAGGTGGGAGCTCAAGCAGGACCTCTCCAGATGATCGAAGAGATCGTGTGGGTTTGTATACAGAAATGCGGTCACGAAGGTAGGCGGGTCCCAAACACAGGGATTTGTAGGTAAGAACCTGCACCTTGAATGGGACCGGAAAATGAACGGCAGCCAGTGGAGATTCCAGGCTCGAGTTTGCAGGAAAGTTCACTCTCTTCTCCAGGGTCGAGTCTGCAAGATTGTTTCACACCTGCAGTTAATGAGATAGATAAGACCAGTCCCCGTCTGGAAATCAGCCAGAACCATAGAGAGGTCCAATGTTTACGCAGGTCAGAAAGAATTCAGCAATTAAGGTCAAAGACTGGGGGGAGTAGAAATCAGTTTCTGGGACTTAAATTGAGCTCTTAGGGGATTTCCTTCAGACCAGGCATCGTTTGGTTTCAAGTCAAGTCTTTTGGATATTCCTGTGGCCTCGTCTCCAAGATATCCTGGCTTTTCAAGTGGATTAGCAGTGGCCATGTTCTTGGTTTTTACTGAAGGCATTTGATATTTCATTGCATCTGGATTATTACAGCAAGCCTTTGAAACTTTGTCATTATTCCTATGTTTATGTTACTGCTTTTTTGGCTTTTTGCTTTTGGACTTTTATCAACTTTATATTTGTCTCTTTTATTGGCTCCAATTATTCTACAAATTTATTTTTTATTTATTTATCGTCTCAGGAGCAACCAGACATTTGTATTACATTTTTAACAAACAGACAAAACACAAAGTTTGCAAGCTTGGTAGTTGATTAAATGTCCTTTGACCAGTATCTGGCCACTTGGAGTGCCTCTGGTGTTGCCGCAAGAGGTCCTCCATTGTGCATGTGGCAGGGCTCAGGTTGCATTGCAGCAGGTGGTCAGTGGTTTGCTCTTCTCCACACTCGCATGTCAAGGATTCCACTTTGTGGCCCCATTTCTGAAGGTTGGCTCTGCATCTCGTGGTGCCAGAGTGCAGTCTGTTCAGCGCCTTCCAAGTCGCCCAGTCTTCTGTGTGCCCAGGGGGGAGTCTCTCATTTGGTATCAGCCATTGATTGAGGTTCTGGGTTTGAGCCTGCCACTTTTGGACTCTCGCTTGCTGAGGTGTTCCAGCGAGTGTCTCTGTAGATCTTAGAAAACTGTTTCTTGATTTAAGTCGTTGACGTGCTGGCTGATACCCAAACAGGATGAGCTGGAGATGTCTCTGCCTTGGTCCTTTCACTATTGGCTGCTACTTCCCGGCGGATGTCAGGTGGTGCAATACCGGCTAAGCAGTGTAATTTCTCCAGTGGTGTAGGGCGCAGACACCCCGTGATAATGCGGCATGTCTCATTAAGAGCCACATCCACTGTTTTAGCGTGGTGAGATGTGTTCCACACTGGGCATGCATACTCAGCAGCAGAGTAGCATAGCGCAAGGGCAGATGTCTTCACTGTATCTGGTTGTGATCCCCAGGTTGTTCCAGTCAGCTTTCGTATGATATTGTTTCTAGCACCCACTTTTTGCTTGATGTTCAGGCAGTGCTTCTTGTAGGTCAGAGCACGGTCCAGAGTGACTCCCAGGTATTTGGGTGTGCTGCAATGCTCCAGTGGGATTCCTTCCCAGGTAATCCTCAGAGCTCGAGATGCTTGTCTGTTCTTAAGGTGAAAAGCACATGTCTGTGTTTTAGATGGGTTAGGGATCAGCTGGTTTTCTCTGTAATAGGCAGTAAGAGCACCTAGAGCAGTGGTTCTCAATCTGGGGTCCCCAGATGTTTTTGGCCTACAACTCCCAGAAACCTCAGCCAGTTTATCAGCTGTTAGGATTTCTGGGAGTTGTAGGCCAAAAACATCTGGGGACCCCAGGTTGAGAACCACTGACCTAGAGCTTCGGAGAGCTTCTGTTCTACCATCTCAAAGCTCGCTGCTTGAGCGATGATGGCACGATCATTAGCATAGATGAAACTCTCCGTCCCTTCTGGCAGTGGCTGGTCATTTGTGTCGATGTTGAACACGGATGGAGCGAGCATGCTTCCCTGAGGCAGGCCGTTCTTCTGTTTCCGCCATCTGCTTCTCTGTCCCTGAAACTCAACAAAAAAGCTCCTGTTTTGTAGCAGGTTTCCTATGAGGCGGGTGAGGTGGTCGTCCTTTGTGATATTCTTCAAATAAAAATGACTCTTCTTTCATCCAAGGTGTGGTGTAATGAATGATTAGAGGGTCCAGTTCCTACTCTGGGGTGCAACCATAAGAATGACTCTTCTTTCATCCAAGGTGTGGTGTAATTAACGATTAGAGGGTTCCTACTCTGGGGTGCAACAGACCAAACTATTGCCATCTTGAAACTCATTAACATCACTCCCCACATCCAAAACACCCTGATCTGAAACACAACCCCAGGCTGAGCTCCAACAGTAAGTTCAGTGTGAGAAGAAGCTCTGTGAGAGTGACGCTGTTTATCTGCTTGAGAAAGAAGCCCAGCGTGGAAGCAAAGAAGGAAGTATAAAGAGGTTTATTTGTGTTACGGAGAAAAGTGTTCTGGAACAGCTATTCCAGGGGCTCCAATTTTGTGCTTTGCACTGAGTGTTTGTTCATAGTCCTAAGTTGCAGGGACTTTGCAGATAGGTGGCTTCCTTTGGCTGCATTCATAGGGCAAGCCACCTGTCAATAATAGTTAGGATCCCTGGTCCCGCCCCTCTCTGGGTTTTTTGGAGGGAAGGGGCCATTTTTCAGTTAGTCTCAGCAAAGGAAGTCAATGCAGAGGATGTATACAGACGTCCTCCTGTACAAAGGCTTCGTCCCTTAAGACTTCCCGGGGGAGAACAGTCTTAAGAGCCCTCTTGACAGATTAGAGAGATGGGCCAAAACTAACAAAAGGAAGTTCAACAGTGACAAATGCAAGATACTCCACTTTGGCAGGAAAAACGAAATGCAAAGATACAGAATGGAGGAGAATGCCTGGCTCGAGAGCAGTACGTGTGAAAAAGATCTTGGAGTCCTCGTGGACAACAAGTTAAACATGAGCCAACAATGTGATGTGGCGGCAAAAAAAGCCAATGGGATTTTGGCCTGCATCAAGAGGAGCATAGTGTCTAGATCTAGGGAAGTCATGCTCCCCATGCTCTATTCCGCTTTGGTTAGACCACACCTGGAATATTGTGTCCAGTTCTGGGCACCACAATTGAAGAGAGATGTTGACAAGCTGGATTGTGTCCAGAGGAGGGCGACTAAAATTATAAAAGGTATGGAGAACAAGCCCTATGAGGAGTGGCTTAAGGAGCTGGGCATGTTTAGCCTGAAGAAGAGAAGGCTGAGAGGAGACATGATAGCCATGTATAAGTATGGGAGAGGAAGCCACAGGGAGGAGGAGGGAGCAAGCTTGTGTTCTGCTTCCTTGGAGACTAGGACGCGGAACAATGGCTTCAAACTACAAGAGAGGAGATTCCATCTGAACATGAGGAAGAACTTCCTGTGAGAGCCGTTCAGCAGTGGAACTCTCTGCCCCGGAGTGTGGTGGAGGCTCCTTCTTTGGAAGTTTTGAAACAGAGGCAGGATGGCCATCTGTCAGGGGTGATTTGAATGCAATATTCCTGCTTCTTGGCAGAATGGGGTTGGACTGGATGGCCCAGGAGGTCTCTTCCAACTCTTTGATTCTATGATTCTAAGTGACTACAGCCCTGCTGGTACGTCTGCTCGGTTCTGAGACGCAGTTCAGCCCGGTAGTGGATTCAAATCAGTCAGGTTTAGGTTCACAGCAGCCTGGGAGGAGCTAAAAAGGGGGAATTTTCCTTTGAACAAAGTTATTGAAGATAGTGCCTGTTCCCTGTGGACAAGTTTGAGAAAACTGGTTTCTTTACCAAGAAAACTTTACAATTCCTGTTTGTTCATCAATAAAAGACTGTTATATTTAAACCCAAGCCTCCTAAAGACTGTTTAATGAGGGAAATTTTTCTAAAGGCTCCTTTTTGGGCCCCCTGGCTTCCCGCTGGATTCAAGCCACACATCCTCTCTTAAAAGCACTTCATTTCAGGTCCAGCGGCGACAGAACAAAAAGACAAGGCTCTTAAGGAAGATATAGTATTGGTCTATGTGTTTTTGTTCTTTTTATCACTGGGCTACTGATGCTGGATCACGTTGCAGCTGATAAGTATGCTTATGAGGAGGGTCTACTTGCCCAACATAAACTGTGTTAATTCTACAGTGTGGATGCACCCCGTGTTCACCTTGCAGCCGCGTCCATACCGTTCTCAGTTCTTTCCGGCGTTGCAAAGGTACATAAATGTGCTTTCCCCCCGTTTTTTGGAAACCTGGCTTGCCAATGGCAACCTCAGCCTTTCCTCTCCCACCTTTTTCTCACCTTTTTGGCAGGTGACCATAGCAACGGCCCACCTGTCCGCAAAACACAATCCGGAACAGCCTGAAATAGCAGCTGAGAGAGTGACACCTTTCAGTGGCCCCATGCGCACACACACCTGGCTTTCATGCAACACAATGGTTTTCAAAATATTATACACACACACACACACACACACACACAATGACCTTCAGCCTATGTGACTAAGGAGTCTATGAAACAACACACACACACACACACACATGTATTATAGTGTGTGTGTGTGTGTGCATAGAGTCTCATCTCCAAGATAAGTTTGTCCAGGTATCAGAATTGCATCTCCTGGGAGTTATAGTTTGGAGAGGCATCAATACTGGCAGACTCACACACGCAATAGGTGCCTATGGTAAGTTGTGTGTGTGTGTGTGTGTGTAAGTTTGCAAATACAGAGATACAGAAAACAGGGCTTGCAAAGGCAACCCATGCAATTTGCAATACAGCCCTTTGCAATAAGTGCTTATAATAGTTTGCGAACATATATATGTATACAAGTCACACATATACACAGACCTAGCCTGGCAGACTCAAGGCAAAAGACCTTGTTAAACTACATCTCCCATTAGCACTGAGATGTGTAGAGTGAATGCAGCTAAACTGCCATGGCTCAATGATATTAACTCATGGGAGGTGCAGTTTTGCAAGGTTTGCGGATTTCTCTGCCCTGCAGTGTTGGTGTCTTGTCAAACTACAACTCCCAGGATTCCATTAGCACTGAGGCATGTAGAACGAACACAGCTTGACATGAAGCAATGATATTAACTCAAAGGAGTTGTAGTTTTACAAACTACAACTATTATTATTATTATTATCTGCCTTGCAATGTTGGTGTCTCATCAAACTACAACTTCCAGGACTTCATTAGCACTGAAGCATGTATAACTGAATGCAGCTCAATGGTATTATCTCATGGGAGTTGTAGTTTTACGTGGTCTTTAACCTTATCTGCCAAATAATGTTTGTGTCTTGTCAAACTACAACTCCCAGGATTCCATAGGCATTTTCATTTGCACCCATTCTACAGTGTAGAATAGATGCACCATGCATATCTCGCCAAACTACAACTCCCAGGACCCTATGGCATTGAGCCATGGCGGTTTATGGAATGTAGATTAACCCAATGCTATGGAATTCTGGGAGTTGTAGTTTAGAGGCATCAATACTCTTTGGCAGACTTAAGGCGAAAGAGAACTTGCGAAACAACAACTCCCAGGACTCCATTAGCACTGAGAGATGTAGAATCAATGCAGTTTGACATGGCTCAATGATATTAAATGGTGGGAGCTGTAGTTTTGCAAGGTTTATGGACTTCTCTGCCATGCAATATTGTTGTCTCATCAAACTACAACTCCCAAGATTCAGCACTAAGCCATGGCGGTTTATGGGGCGTAGATGCAATCCAACCAGTGCTGTGGAATGCAGGGACTTGTGCGAGTTGTAGTTCTACAAGGTCTGTGGACTTCTCTGCAATATAATGATGCTTCACCAAACTACAACTCCCAGGGCCCTATAGCATTGAGTATGGCGGCTTATGGGATGTGGATGCAACGCAACCAGTACTAGGGAACGCAAGGAATTGCGGGAGTTGTAGTTCTACAAGGTCTATGGACTTCGCTGCAATATAATGTTGGTGCTTCACCAAACTACAACTCCCAAGATTCAGCACTAAGCCATGGCGGTTTATGGGCCGTGGATGCAATCAAATCAGTGCTGTGGAATGCAGGGAATTGCGGGAGTTGCAGTTCTACAAGGTCTGTGAACTCCTCTGCAATATAATGTTGGTGCTTCACCAAACTACAACTCCCAGGGCCCTATAGCATTGAGCCATGGTGACTTATGGGGTGTGGATGCAATGCAGCCAGTGCTAGGGAACGCAAGGAATTGCAGGAGTTGTAGTTCTACAAGGTCTGTGAACTCCTCTGCAATATCATGTTGGTGCTTCACCAAACTACAACTCTCAGGGCCCTATAGCATTTAGCCATGACGGCTTATGGGGTGTGGATGCAACGCAACCAGTACTAGGGAATGCAAGGAGTTGCGGGAGTTGTAGTTCTACAAGGTCTATGGACTTCTCTGCAATATAATGTTGGTGCTTCACCAAACTACAACTCCCAGGACCCCATAGCATTGAGCCATGGCGGCTTATGGGGTGTGGATGCAATGCAACCAGTGCTAGGGAATGCAGGGACTTGCGGGAGTTGTTCCCAAGATTCAGCACTAAACCATGGTGGTTTATGGGCCGTGGATGCAATCCAATCAGTGCTGTGGAATGCAGGGAATTGCAGGAGTTGCAGTTCTACAAGGTCTGTGAACTCCTCTGCAATATAATGTTGGTGCTTCACCAAATGACAACTCTCAGGACCCTATAGCATTGAGCCATGGTGGCTTATGGGGTGTGGATGTAATGCAACCAGTGCTATAGAATGCAGGGACTTGCGAGAGTTGTAGTTCTACAAGCTCTGTGGATTTCTCTGCAATATAATGTTGGTGCTTCACCAAACTACAACTCCCAGGGCCGTATAGCATTGAGCCATGGCGGCTTATGGGGTGTGGATGCAACGCAACCAGTGCTAGGGAATGCAGGGACTTGCGGGAGTTGTAGTTTTACATATCTGCAATATAATGTTGGTGCTTCATAGAATCATAGAATCCAAGAGTTGGAAGAGACCTCCTGGGCCATCCAGTCCAACCCCATTCTGCCAAGAAGCAGGAATATTGCATTCAAATCACCCCTGACAGATGGCCATCCAGCCTCTGTTTAAAGTACAACTCCCAGGACCCTATCGCATTGGGCCATGGTGGCTTATGGGGTGTGGATGCAACGCAACCAGTGCTATGGAATGCAAGGAATTGTGGGAGTTGTAGTTCTACAAGCTCTATGGACTTCTCTGCAATATAATATTGGTGCTTTACCAAACTACAACTCCCAGGGCCCTATAGCATTGAGCCATGGTGGGTGCAACGCAACCAGTACTAGGGAATGCAAGGAAATGCGGGAGTTGTAGTTTTACAAAGTCTATGGACCTATCTGCAATATATTGGTGCTTCACCAAACTACAACTCCCAGGACCCTATAGCATTGGGGTGTGGATGCAACGCAACCAGTGCTATGGGATGCAGGAACTTGCGGGAGTTGCAGTTCTGCAAGGTCTACGGACTTCTCTGCAATATAATGTTGGTGCTTCACCAAACTACAACTCCCAGGGCCCTATAGCATTGAACCATGGCGGCTTATGGGTCGTGGATGCAACACAACCAGTGCTATGGAATGCAAAGACTTGCGGGACTTATAGTTTTACAAGGTCTGTGGTCTTCACTGCAATATAATATTGGTGCTTCACCAAACTACAACTCCCAGGACCCTATAGCATTGGGGTGTGGATGCAAGGCAACCAGTGCTATGGAGTGCTGGGACTTGTAGTTCGGGGAGGCGCCTTTGAGGGGAACTACAACTCCCAGGCTTTCCCTGCCCATCACACTCTTCTAAAGCTATGCAAGGAACTGCAAGCAGAAGCCCCGCCCGCCTCCCTTCTTCGCCTGCCGCCCTGGTGACAGCTCTCCCAACAGGGGTCTCCCTCCTCCGCGCCGCAGCCAATGGCCGGCGGGGGTGTGCGCCCAGGCCCCGCCCAGAGGCGCCGCCCGGCCAATGGCAGGGCAGGTGGGCGTGGCCTGTGCGGGGAAGGGCTGTCCCCAGCCCCACACGTGGCCGCCTTGCTGCAGGGCTTCCCGGCTGGAAGGAAGGCAGGCGGGCGAGCCATGGAGGAGCCGGGCAAGCCGGGAAAAGGCGCCCCGAGACCCCAGAGGAGCCGCTCCCAGGTCAGAGCCCTCTCTTTGCAAACTCTCCCAGGCACACATTGCAAAAGGGGGAAATGCACCCCTTGCAAAACTGCCCGGGGACCCCTTTGGCAAGCCCTGTTTGCTGTATTTTTGCATTTGCAAACTTATGGTGGGCACCTATTGCCAAGGACTGTATTGCAGGTTGCATAGGCTGCCTTTGCAAGCTCTGTTTTTTGTATCTATTTGCAAACTTGGCATAGGCAGCTATTGCAAAAGATAATGTGTGTATTTGCAAACTATATAGGTGTGTGTGTGTGGGATTGCAAACTGTAATATGCACCTATTGCAAACGATGGTGTACACACATTGCCAATTGCATGGGGTGCCTTTTGCAGGCTATATATGTGTTTGTGTATACATATGTATGTTTGCAAACTATTATAAGCACTTATTGCAAAGGATAATGTGTGTATTTGCAAACTATATCTATATATATGTGTGTGTGTGTGTGATTGCAAACTGTAATATGCACCTATTGCAAAGGATGGTGTACACACATTGCCAATTGCATGGAGTGCCTTTTGCAGGCTATATATGTGTTTGTGTATACATATGTATGTTTGCAAACTATTATAAGCACTTATTGCAAAGGATAATGTGTGTATTTGCAAACTATATCTATATATATGTGTGTGTGTGTGTGATTGCAAACTGTAATATGCACCTATTGCAAAGGATGGTGTACACACATTGCCAATTGCATGGGGTGCCTTTTGCAGGCTATATATGTGTTTGTGTATACATATCTATGTTTGCAAACTATTATAAGCACTTATTGCAAAGGATAATGTGTGTATTTGCAAACTATATAGATGTATATGATTGCAAACTAATATGTACCTATTGCAAAGGATGGTGTGCACACATTGGCAATTGCATGGGGTGTCTCTTGCAGGCTAGGTATGTATATGTGTTTGTGTATACATATCTATGTTTGCAAACTATTATAAGCACTTATTGCAAAGGATAATGTGTGTATTTGCAAACTATATAGATGTATATGATTGCAAACTAATATGCACCTATTGCAAAGGATGGTGTGCACACATTGGCAATTGCATGGGGTGTCTCTTGCAGGCTAGGTATGTATATGTGTTTGTGTATACATATATATGTTTGCAAACTATCATAGGCACTTATTGCAAAGGGCTGTATCGCAAATTGCATGGGTTGCCTTTGCAAGCTCTATTTTTATATCTGTTTGCAAACTTACCATAGGCACCTATTGCAAAGCAGACTGTAATATGCACCTATTGCCAATTGCATGGGGTGCCTTTTGCAGGCTAGGTCTGTATATGTGTGACTTGTATACAAATATATGTTTGCAAACTATAATAGGCACTCATTGCAAAGGACTGTATTGCAGGTTGCATAGGCTGCCTTTGCAAGCTCTGTTTTTTGTATCTATTTGCAAACTTGGCATAGGCAGCTATTGCAAAAGATAATGTGTGTATTTGCAAACTATATAGGTGTGTGTGTGGGATTGCAAACTGTAATATGCACCTATTGCAAACGATGGTGTACACACATTGCCAATTGCATGGGGTGCCTTTTGCAGGCTATATATGTGTTTGTGTATACATATGTATGTTTGCAAACTATTATAAGCACTTATTGCAAAGGATAATGTGTGTATTTGCAAACTATATAGATGTATATTTTTATTTATTTATTTATTTCATTTACTTATACCCCGCCCTTCTCACCCCAAACTGTTTGCAAACTGTAATATGCACCTATTGCAAAGGATGGTGTACACACATTGCCAATTGCATGGGGTGCCTTTTGCAGGCTATGGATGTATATGTGTTTGTGTATACATATATATGTTTGCAAACTATAATAGGCACTTATTGCAAAGGGCTTTATTGCCAATTGCATGGGCTGCCTTTGCAAGCTCTGTTTTTTGTATCTATTTGCAAACTTACCATAGGCAGCTATTGCAAAGGATAATGTGCATACATATATATATGCAAACCATATATATATATATATATATATATATATATATATATACAAACTGTAATATGCACCTATTGCAAAGATAATGTGCACACATTGCGAAATTGCATGGGGTGCCTTTGCAAGTTATGTGTGTACATCTCTGTATGCACACACACACACACACACACACACATGTTTGCAAACTATCATAGGCCCCTATTGCAATGGTAATGGGCACACATTGTCCATTGTACGAGGTGACTTTGCAAGCTATCTGTGTATAAGTGTTTTTGTGTATACATATATATGTATACATTGTATTACACAATGCAAAATTGCATGGGGTTCCTTTGCAAGTTATGTGTGTACATCTCTGTGTATGCATATGGATATGTTTGCAAACTATCATAGGCACCTATTGCAAAGGGTAATATGCACACGTTGCCAATTGCATGGGGTACATTTTTAGTTATGTACGTTTATTTGTGTGTATACACATATGTATATGTTTGGAAACTAATATTGCACCTATTGCAAAGGACTGTTGGAAATTGCATGGGGTACCTTTGCAAGCTCTCTCTCTCTGTGTGTGTGTATGTTTGCAAAGTAATAGGCGTCTATTACAACGAACGGTGGGCACACATTGCCAATTGCATGGGGTGACTTCAAGCTATGTACCGTAGGTATTTGTCTCAGTGTGTATACATATATATGTTTGGAAAGTATAAGTCGCAGCTGTTGCAAAGGACCGTATTGCCAATTGCATGGGGTGTCTTTGCGACCTCTACTTTTATATCTCTGTCTTTGTAAACTTATCATAGGCACCTATTGCAAAGGATAATGTGATTCTGCAAGCTACAATATCCACATATTGCAAAGGACTGTATTGCGAATTACATGAGATTCCTTTGCAAGCTCTGTTTTTATATCTATTTGCAAACCTATAGGCACCTGTGGACATACATATGTTTGCAAACTAATATACACATATTGGGAAGGATGTCCACATAATGCAAATTGCATGGGTGACTTGGCAAGATGTGTGTTTGTGTATGTATATATATATATATATATACACACACACACACACACACACACACATGCCAGTGACTTGCAAACTTGCACATGCTGCAAACTATATTGTCTGGGAGTTGCAAGGTCAAAAACAGGGCTTCCAAAGGCACCCAAGACAAAATTTGGGGGCATATTTTTCCTCCATATATTTGAAAACTATGATTAGCACTTAGTGTATTGCAAGTTGCATGAGGTGCAGCTACAAGTAGTATTTTGCCAACTATAACAGGCACATAATAAAAAGGATAATGTGCACACATGTATCTTGTGCAAGCATTGCAAATTACAGAGGGTGACTCTATGTATATGTTTGCAAACTATAATAGGCACATATTGCAAAGGATAATAATGTATACACATGGCCAATTACAAAGGGTGCCTTTGCAAGGTATGTGTGTGTCATATATAGAATCATAGAATCAAAGAGTTGGAAGAGACCTCCTGGGCCATCCAGTCCAACCCCATTCTGCCAAGAAGCAGGAATATTGCATTCAAATCACCCCTGACAGATGGCCATCCAGCCTCTGTTTCAAAGCTTCCAAAGAAGGAGCATCCACCACACTCTGGGGCAGAGAGTTCCACTGCTGAACGGCTCTCACAGTCAGGAAGTTCTTCCTCATGTTCAGATGGAATCTCCTCTCTTGTAGTTTGAAGCCATTGCTCCATTGCGTCCTTGTCTCCAGGGAAGCAGAAAACAAGCTTGCTCCCTCCTCCCTGTGGCTTCCTCTCACATATTTATACATGGCTATCATATCTCCTCTCAGCCTTCTCTTCTTCAGGCTAAACATGCCCAGCTCCTTAAGCCGCTCCTCATAGGGCTTGTTCTCCAGACCCTTGATCATTTTAGTCGCCCTCCTCTGGACACATTCCAGCTTGTCAATATCTCTCTTGAATTGTGGTGCCCAGAATTGGACACAATATTCCAGGTAGTGGTCTAACCAAAGCAGAATAGAGCATGAGGAGCATGACTTCCCTAGATCTAGACACTAGACTCCTTCATGCAGGCCAAAATCCCATTGGCTTTTTTTGCCGCCACACCACATTCATTACTTCCCTAGATCTAGACACTAGGCTCCTCTTGATGCAGGCCAAAATCCCATTGGCTTTTATTGCCTCCACATCACATTCCTGGCTCATGTTTAACTTGTTGTCCACGAGGACTCCCAAGATCTTTTTCACACTCCAAAATCTTTTTTACCAATATATATGTTGGCAAACCATAACAGGCACATATTGCAAAGGATGACGTGTATACTTTTATAATGTGCACACATTGCAAATTACTGAAGGTGTCTTTGCAACCTGTGTGTGTGTATATGTATACATACATATGTTTGCAAATTATAACAGGCACACATTGCAAAGGATAATGTGCAGACATTACAAGTTACAGAGGGTGCCTTTGTAAGCTGTGTATATGTATGTGTGTCTAGATATACATATATATGTTTGCAAACTATAACATGCACATATGCAAGGGATAATGTGCACACATTATAATATATACACATTACAAATGGCAGAGGTTGCCTATGCAAGCTGTATGTGCGTCTATATATGTATGCATACATCTATATGTTTGCTAACTATAAAAAGCAGTAGGGGTTGCAAGTGCAAAAATGGACCTTCTAATGGCACCCTGGGCAATATTTTGGGGAGAACACTTGTATCTCTATTTGCAAACTACCATCATCCGCTTCCTTTGTTGTTGTTTTGGAGGGGCTTATGCAAATATGCCTTTGCAGATGGGCTATGTAGTCTATCCATTTTAGTTACTCTTCCTGCCTCTTCTGCTCATTGCCTCCATCTGTTTGCCCAGCTCTTGCTTGGCACAGAAGGGAAGGAAGGAAGGAAGGAGGCAGAGAGAGAGAGAGAGAGAGAAGGCTGCAAGCTGGAGCCCTTTCTGCCAGAGGAATCCGGGTTCTCCTCCTCCTCCTCCTCGAATCCAAAATAACATTCCCTTTTCTCTTGCGCTGAAAGGCAGTGGCAGCTCCCTGGTGAGGAATGTGCAGCAACTGGAGCCAGGAGAAGGAGGGCATCCGTGCGCCTGGTGGTGCGCTTGGTTGTGTTTATTTATGGGGCAGGTCAAAGGGACGGGTCCCTTCCTTCTGCTGATGATGGTGATGATGATGCCAGGGTGGTTCCTTCTGCAACAAAGCCCATTATCGGAGACCCTCGCTGGGCAAATGCCTTTCTTGGCTTTGCAAAAGGAGAAAGAGCGTGCTTCCCGGGGCATTTCGGGCCCATTTCCCAGAACCGGAGGCGTTCAGAGCAAATAAACATCTTAGAACCCGGACCATCTGTTAGGAGGGTTTGCATTGGGCCTTCTTTCAAGACTAGCTGGCATTTGGGGGTCTTTTTAAACTGAAGTTGGATGGCCATCTGTCAAGATAGTTTGCATTGTGTTGTGCTGACTCCTTCTGCCCTGGAGGGAGACACAATGCAAACTATTGTCGAAGGCTTTCGTGGCTGGAATCACTGGGTTGTTGTAGGTTTTTCGGGCAGTATGGCCATGCTCTAGAAGCATTCTTTCCTGATGTTTTGCCTGCATCTCCTCAGAGGTTGTGAGGATGCTTGCCACAGATGCAGGTGAAATGTCAGGACAGAATGCTTCTAGAACATGGCCACACTGCCTGAAGAACCTACAACAACCAAGTGATTCCGGCCACGAAAGCCTTCGACAATAGTTTGCCTTGTGTCTCCTTGCAGGGCAGAAGGAGTGAGACTAGATGACCTTTGGTGGATCCCTTAAAGAAACACAAGATGGGCATCTGTTGGGAGGGTTTGCATTGTGTCTTCCTGTCTGGGAGAAAGAGGCTAGATGGCAATTAGGTTTGCATTGAGTTTTACTTCAGGCAGAAGGGGGTCAGACTAGATGACCCTTGGGGGTCATTAAGCAGGTGCAAGATGGGCATCTGTCAGGAGGGTTTGCATTGTGCAACTGCAGGGCAGAAGGAGGTCAGACTAGATGGCCTCTGGGGGTCTCTAAGCAGAGGCAAGATGGGCATCTGTCAGGAGGGTTTGCATTGTGTGTCTGCAGGGCAGAAGGAGGTCAGAATAGATGGCCTTTGGGGTGTGTCTAAGCAGAGGCCAGATGGGCATCTGTCAGGAGGGTTTGCCTTGTGCAACTGCAGGGCAGGAGGAGGTCAGACTGGATGGCCTTTGGGTGTCTCTAAGCAGAGGCCAGATGGGCATCTGTCAGGAGGGTTTGCATTGTGCACCTGCAGGGCAGAAGGAGGTCAGACTAGATGCCCTTTGGTGGTCTCTAAGCGGAGGCAAGATGGCCCTCTGTCAGGAGGGTTTGCATTGCATCTCATTGCAGGGTAGAAGGGGGTCAGACTAGATGGCCTTTGGGTTGATAGCCTGATCCTGTCTCTTTAATATCTTCAGAAGTTCATCATATTTAGTCCAGAGAAAAAATAAAGTCACCTAATCAAGGACCAAATTATTATTATTATTATTATTATTATTATTATTATTATTATTATTGTGTTTGGTTATTTGTTTTTATGTGTATTTTTCCCATTCTTTCTCTCTCTTAAAGTGGTATCCGACTGCATTAATTCCTAACCCATCAAGGAAATGCCACCGCCATGCGCCATGCGCTAGACATCCCCCGAAGGCACATGGCACGTTGTATGTCATGGAGCCCACCACATGCATGCGCTAATGGATTCACAACATCCATTAGCCTTTTCCCCTTTGAACGACCCCCTGCAGCTATGCTTTGACCTCAATGGGACCCGATGGATGACCTTTGGGAGACCCATAAATACTTATTGGAGCGTGAGCAATCCTAGGGGAAAGGAAGGAAGGAAGGGCCTCTGGAAAGAGAGTTTCCCCTCCAGCTGCAGGCCAGGCACTTCTTAAAAAATGCAATTCTCAGTGCCTCTGAAATACTAAGAAAACAGCAACAACAGCAATAATAATAATAATAGATAATAATAATAATAATAATAATAATAGGTTCTTTTCTTGCAGGGCTCAATGGATTGTCCCAACCTAAAATAATAATAATAATAATAATAATAATAATAATAATAATAATAGGTTTCTCTCTTGCAGGGTTCAATAGATTGTCCCAACCTGAAATAATAACAATAATAACAATAACAATAATAATAGGTTTCTCTCGCAGAGTTCGGTGGATTTTCCCAACCTAGAAATAATAATAATAATAATAACAATAACAACACTAGGTTTTTCTCTTGCAGGGTTCAATGGATTGTCCCAACTTGGAAATAATAATAACAATAATAGCAACAACAACAACAACAATAATAATAATAGTAATAATAGGTTTCTGTCTTGCAGGGTTCAATAGATTGTCCCAACCTGAAAATAATAATAATAATAATAATAATAGGTTTCTGTCTTGCAGTGTTCAATGGATTGTCCCAACCTGAAAATAATAATAATAATAATAATAATAATAATAATAATAATAGGTATCTCTCTTGCAGGGTTCAGTGGATTGTCCCAACCTGGATATAATAATAATAATAATAATAATAATAATAATAGGTTTCTCTCTTGCAGGGTTCAATGGATTGTCCCAACCTGAAAATAATAATAATAATAATAATAATAATAATAGGTATCTCTCTTGCAGGGTTCAGTGGATTGTCCCAACCTGGATATAATAATAATAATAATAATAATAATAAATAGGTTTCTCTCTTGCAGGGTTCAATAGATTGTCCCAACCTGGATATAATAATAATAATAATAATAATAATAATAATAATAGGTTTCTGTCTTGCAGTGTTCAATGGATTGTCCCAACCTGGATATAATAATAATAATAATAATAATAATAATAATAATAATAATAATAATAGCTTTCTGTCTTGCAGTGTTCAATAGATTGTCCCAACCTGGATATAATAATAATAATAATAATAATAATAATAATAATAATAATAGTTTTCTGTCTTGCAGTGTTCAATGGATTGTCCCAACCTGGATATAATAATAATAATAATAATAATAATAATAGCTTTCTGTCTTGCAGTGTTCAATAGATTGTCCCAACCTGGATATAATAATAATAATAATAATAATAATAATAATAATAGGTTTCTCTCTTGCAGGGTTCAATGGATTGTAAAATAATAATAATAATAATAATAATAATAATAATAATAATAGGTATCTCTCTTGCAGGGTTCAGTGGATTGTCCCAACCTGGATATAATAATAATAATAATAATAATAATAATAATAATAATAGGTTTCTCTCTTGCAGGGTTCAATAGATTGTCCCAACCTGGATATAATAATAATAATAATAATAATAATAATAATAATAATAGGTTTCTGTCTTGCAGTGTTCAATGGATTGTCCCAATCTGAAAATAATAATAATAATAATAATAATAATAATAGGTTTCTCTCTTGCAGGGTTCAATAGATTGTCCCAACCTGGATATAATAATAATAATAATAATAATAATAATAATAATAGGTTTCTGTCTTGCAGTGTTCAATGGATTGTCCCAATCTGAAAATAATAATAATAATAATAATAATAATAATAATAGGTATCTCTCTTGCAGGGTTCAGTGGATTGTCCCAACCTGGATATAATAATAATAATAATAATAATAATAATAATAATAGGTTTCTGTCTTGCAGTGTTCAATGGATTGTCCCAACCTGAAAATAATAATAATAATAATAATAATAGGTATCTCTCTTGCAGGGTTCAGTGGATTGTCCCAACCTGGATATAATAATAATAATAATAATAATAATAGGTTTCTCTCTTGCAGGGTTCAATGGATTGTCCCAACTCGGAAATAATAATAATAATAATAATAACAATAATAATAATAATAATAGGTTTCTCTCTTGCAGGGTTCATTGGATTGTCCCAACCCGGAAATAATAATAATAATAATAATAATAATAATAATAATAATAATAATAGGTTTCTCTCTTGCAGGGTTCATTGGATTGTCCCAACTCGGAAATAATAATAATAATAATAATAATAGGTTTCTCTCTTGCAGGGTTCAATGGATTGTCCCAACCTGGAAATAATAATAATAATAATAATAATAATAATAGGTTTCTCTCTTGCAGGGTTCGGTGGACTGTCCCAACCTGGAATTCGAATATGGAGACGCCGACTCCTTTGCGGCTGAACTTTCAGGTAAAACAAAGACACAAATATTATTTCTGTCCAAACTGCATTAACTCTGCAGTGTAGATGCAATTGCCATTGGGTTTCTCTTTCTGCCCAAGACCATTCCTAATTCCTAGAAGCTTGCACAAGTCTCATTTCTCTTTTTTCGTGGGTGCATTTGTGCCAAATTAGAGCAACAGTAAATAGGTCGCCCATGCCCCCTCGGTGTCTCCTATAGAGACAGGGATTCCTTTCCTTTTTGCTGCCACATCTGATCAATGCTCTGCCGAGATGTGTAGGCTTGAAGGCATATTTCCCCCCTGAACGCCTCTGCATTGTTCTTGTGAATAATGTCAATTTCATTGAAAGGTGGTGCGCAGCCCAGATGCGCTCTGCATGCAACCCGATGCCTGGGTCTGCTCTCGATCACTCGCTCAGGGTTTGGCATTGCCTTGTTGTTGTTGCTGCTGTTGTTGTTAGCATTGCAATAATAATAATGTGTGTGTTTAAAACCAAATAAGACCCCTCCTAAATAACACTAGCCCAGGGTTTTGCATTGCCATTATTATTATTATTATTATTATTATTATTATTGTTAGTGTTTAAAGCCAGATGGGACTCCCATTAAATGTCACTAGCCCAGGGTTTTGCATTGCAATAACAATAATAACAATAATAATAATAATAATAATAATAGGTCAAAAGATCAGCAGTTCGACTCCATGGAGTGAAGTGAGCTCCCACTGTCAGCCCCAGCTTCTGCCAACCTAGAGGCTCAAAAACATGCAAATGTGAGTAGATCAATAGGTACCACTCCGGCGGGAAGGTTGCTCCATTGCAATAATAATAATGTGTGTATTTAAAACCAAATAAGACCCCTCCTAAATAACACTAGCCCAGGGTTTTGCATTGCCATTATTATTATTATTATTATTATTATTATTATTATTATTATTGTTAGTGTTTAAAGCCAGATGGGACTCCCATTAAATGTCACTGGCCCAGGGTTTTGCATTGCAATAGCAATAATAATAATAATAATAATAGGTCAAAATTTCAGCAGTTCGACTCCATGGAGTGAAGTGAGCTCCCACTGTCAGCCCCAGCTTCTGCCAACCTAGAGGCTCAAAAACATGCAAATGTGAGTAGATCAATAGGTACCGCTCCGGCGGGAAGGTAAGGTTGCTCCATTGCAATAATAATAATAATGTGTGTGTTTAAAACCAAATAAGACCCCTCCTAAATAACACTAGCCCAGGGTTTTGCATTGCCATTATTATTATTATTATTATTATTATTATTATTGTTAGTGTTTAAAGCCAGATGGGACTCCCATTAAATGTCACTAGCCCAGGGTTTTGCATTGCAATAACAATAATAACAATAATAATAATAATAATAATAATAGGTCAAAAGATCAGCAGTTCGACTCCATGGAGTGAAGTGAGCTCCCACTATCAGCCCCAGCTTCTGCCAACCTAGAGGCTCAAAAACATGCAAATGTGAGTAGATCAATAGGTACTACTCCGGCGGGAAGGTTGCTCCATTGCAATAATAATAATGTGTGTATTTAAAACCAAATAAGACCCCTCCTAAATAACACTAGCCCAGGGTTTTGCATTGCCATTATTATTATTATTATTATTATTATTATTATTATTATTATTATTATTATTAGTGTTTAAAGCCAGATGGGACTCCCATTAAATGTCACTGGCCCAGGGTTTTGCATTGCAATAGCAATAATAATAATAATAATAATAATAGGTCAAAATTTCAGCAGTTCGACTCCATGGAGTGAAGTGAGCTCCCACTGTCAGCCCCAGCTTCTGCCAACCTAGAGGCTCAAAAACATGCAAATGTGAGTAGATCAATAGGTACCGCTCCGGCGGGAAGGTAAGGTTGCTCCATTGCAATAATAATAATAATGTGTGTGTTTAAAACCAAATAAGACCCCTCCTAAATAACACTAGCCCAGGGTTTTGCATTGCCATTATTATTATTATTATTATTATTATTATTATTATTGTTAGTGTTTAAAGCCAGATGGGACTCCCATTAAATGTCACTGGCCCAGGGTTTTGCATTGCAATAGCAATAATAATAATAATAATAATAATAATAATAGGTCAAAATTTCAGCAGTTCGACTCCATGGAGTGAAGTGAGCTCCCACTGTCAGCCCCAGCTTCTGCCAACCTAGAGGCTCAAAAACATGCAAATGTGAGTAGATCAATAGGTACCGCTCCGGCGGGAAGGTAAGGTTGCTCCATTGCAATAATAATAATAATGTGTGTGTTTAAAACCAAATAAGACCCCTCCTAAATAACACTAGCCCAGGGTTTTGCATTGCCATTATTATTATTATTATTATTATTATTATTATTATTGTTAGTGTTTAAAGCCAGATGGGACTCCCATTAAATGTCACTGGCCCAGGGTTTTGCATTGCAATAGCAATAATAATAATAATAATAATAATAGGTCAAAATTTCAGCAGTTCGACTCCATGGAGTGAAGTGAGCTCCCACTGTCAGCCCCAGCTTCTGCCAACCTAGAGGCTCAAAAACATGCAAATGTGAGTAGATCAATAGGTACCGCTCCGGCGGGAAGGTAAGGTTGCTCCATTGCAATAATAATAATAATGTGTGTGTTTAAAACCAAATAAGACCCCTCCTAAATAACACTAGCCCAGGGTTTTGCATTGCCATTATTATTATTATTATTATTATTATTATTATTATTATTATTGTTAGTGTTTAAAGCCAGATGGGACTCCCATTAAATGTCACTGGCCCAGGGTTTTGCATTGCAATAGCAATAATAATAATAATAATAATAGGTCAAAATTTCAGCAGTTCGACTCCATGGAGTGAAGTGAGCTCCCACTGTCAGCCCCAGCTTCTGCCAACCTAGAGGCTCAAAAACATGCAAATGTGAGTAGATCAATAGGTACCGCTCCGGCGGGAAGGTAAGGTTGCTCCATTGCAATAATAATAATAATGTGTGTGTTTAAAACCAAATAAGACCCCTCCTAAATAACACTAGCCCAGGGTTTTGCATTGCCATTATTATTATTATTATTATTATTATTATTATTATTATTATTGTTAGTGTTTAAAGCCAGATGGGACTCCCATTAAATGTCACTGGCCCAGGGTTTTGCATTGCAATAGCAATAATAATAATAATAATAATAGGTCAAAATTTCAGCAGTTCGACTCCATGGAGTGAAGTGAGCTCCCACTGTCAGCCCCAGCTTCTGCCAACCTAGAGGCTCAAAAACATGCAAATGTGAGTAGATCAATAGGTACCGCTCCGGCGGGAAGGTAACGTTGCTCCATTGCAATAATAATAATAATGTGTGTGTTTAAAACCAAATAAGACCCCTCCTAAATAACACTAGCCCAGGGTTTTGCATTGCCATTATTATTATTATTATTATTATTATTATTATTATTATTAGTGTTTAAAGCCAGATGGGACTCCCATTAAATGTCACTGGCCCAGGGTTTTGCATTGCAATAATAATCAATAATAATAATAATAATAATAATAGGTCAAAAGATCAGCAGTTCGACTCCATGGAGTGAAGTGAGCTCCCACTGTCAGCCCCAGCTTCTGCCAACCTAGAGGCTCAAAAACATGCAAATGTGAGTAGATCAATAGGTACTACTCCGGCGGGAAGGTTGCTCCATTGCAATAATAATAATGTGTGTATTTAAAACCAAATAAGACCCCTCCTAAATAACACTAGCCCAGGGTTTTGCATTGCCATTATTATTATTATTATTATTATTATTATTATTATTATTATTATTATTAGTGTTTAAAGCCAGATGGGACTCCCATTAAATGTCACTGGCCCAGGGTTTTGCATTGCAATAGCAATAATAATAATAATAATAATAATAATAATAGGTCAAAATTTCAGCAGTTCGACTCCATGGAGTGAAGTGAGCTCCCACTGTCAGCCCCAGCTTCTGCCAACCTAGAGGCTCAAAAACATGCAAATGTGAGTAGATCAATAGGTACCGCTCCGGCAGGAAGGTAAGGTTGCTCCATTGCAATAATAATAATAATGTGTGTGTTTAAAACCAAATAAGACCCCTCCTAAATAACACTAGCCCAGGGTTTTGCATTGCCATTATTATTATTATTATTATTATTATTATTATTGTTAGTGTTTAAAGCCAGATGGGACTCCCATTAAATGTCACTAGCCCAGGGTTTTGCATTGCAATAGCAATAATAATAATAATAATAATAATAGGTCAAAATTTCAGCAGTTCGACTCCATGGAGTGAAGTGAGCTCCCACTGTCAGCCCCAGCTTCTGCCAACCTAGAGGCTCAAAAACATGCAAATGTGAGTAGATCAATAGGTACCGCTCCGGCGGGAAGGTAAGGTTGCTCCATTGCAATAATAATAATAATGTGTGTGTTTAAAACCAAATAAGACCCCTCCTAAATAACACTAGCCCAGGGTTTTGCATTGCCATTATTATTATTATTATTATTATTATTATTATTATTATTATTGTTAGTGTTTAAAGCCAGATGGGACTCCCATTAAATGTCACTGGCCCAGGGTTTTGCATTGCAATAGCAATAATAATAATAATAATAATAATAGGTCAAAATTTCAGCAGTTCGACTCCATGGAGTGAAGTGAGCTCCCACTGTCAGCCCCAGCTTCTGCCAACCTAGAGGCTCAAAAACATGCAAATGTGAGTAGATCAATAGGTACCGCTCCGGCGAGAAGGTAACAGCGTTCCATGCAGTCATGCTGGCCACATGACCTTGGAGGTGTCTATGGACAACGCCAGCTCTTTGGCTGAGAAATTGAAATGAGCACCAATCCACAGAGTTGTACACAACTAGATTTAGTATCAAGCTGATGAACAACTGCACTGCATCCTGTCAGATCCCCAAAATCTGGAGGAAAGCAAGAGTCATGCCATCTTGAAGCCAGGCAAAGACCGTAATGACCCAAAAAGCTACAGACCAATCTCCCTGTTGTGCCACCT